GTAAAAAATGACATAAGAGTTATTATTAAGAAATCAAAATAAAAAAATTTAAAATTTGGCAGATTTTAAAAAAAAAAAAAAAAAAAAAAAAAAAAAACTAAAACGTTACAGAAAACGTTCAAACGTTCGAACGTGCAAACGTTCGTCTCAAGATGTGTTTTTCACAGCTGCCTCCCTCCTCAGCAGGAACATGTGATAGCCATCGAAGCCGTCGAGCCGTTTCACTCAGGATGTCTCTGGAAAAGCATGTGGGCGATAATGATGGAGCCCGGGAGAGAGAGAGAGGGAGAGAGAGAGAGGAAAGGAGAGAGAAAAAGAGGGAGAAAGAAGGAAGGGGGAGGGAGAGCAAAGAGAAGAGAAAGAGAGGGTCCCTCAGGGCTTTTGGGGGCCTGCTAAGCAGCTCAACGGCTGCAAACAGCATCACAGTCCACATGTGCAAACATTTAAGATATCTGCCTGTGTAATGGGGTCAACATGGCCCCTCTCCGGGTGCACCAAGCACCGGCGTTCACTTCCCACCACAGTTTACAGAAATGAGGCGACCGTGGAGTTGACTCCAAAGATAGGGAAGGATTTTGATTTTCTTTTTTTTTTTTTTTTCTTAAATCTTGGGTATTTGGGTTTAGTATGGCTTGAAGAGAGCTGCAACATTCTGGCCTATTGTTACTCTATCAAGTCTAGCTCATTGGAGTTCGAGCAAATGCAACTTTAAAACCGAGGAGTGAATGTACTCGACTCCAATTTGTCCTTGAAAACATGAAAAGAAAAAAAAAACAAAACAAAAGCGGATGTTTGGCTGGTGAAGACATACTTTGGCATCAACAGTTTTTACGAGTCTTGAGTTACTGAAACAAAGCCTTTTCAGTAATGTCGGCGTATAACACAGGTCAAATCCAGACTTGCAGACATGTAAGTACTTCAGTGCATAAAAGGGAAACTTTTTATTCTGTTGATATTCGAGTGTACTTCCATGTCATGGAAAAAAAAAAAAAATTTCCTTGGTAAGCTTCATATGGCGATCGAGTCCTTTTATGATATATTTAAAGCTTTTACTTCAAAGCCACTAATATTCAACAGTTGTTGTTTTCTTTACTATTTAAAATCCTTCCATTGAGGTTCCAGAGAAAGTTTTTTCCCCCTTGGAGTTTAGCTCACCTGCAGTGCACCTGCTGCTGTCCACTGCAAGTCAACTGACTGAAAGAAAGATGCAACATTTCCTTTCACACAAACAAAATAACTGGAGGTCTTTCAGGTTAATAGCAGAGTCATTGTGTGGAAACTAAAGCAAAACCACCAGTCTCTCATATTGAGGTAATACTAATTAAAAACTACAGCTAGCAAGCTGCTAGTGACGGCATCAGTTACATGTAGCTCAATGTGCTACGTTGTGTTTAGCACTGAGCTAAACACAACTCTGCATTATGATGTCACCAGGTGACTCCAAACCCCATAGAAGCACTGAAGAAATGCTTAGAACTGATAAATGTGTGAATGTGCCACAACTTTCTCCAGCTGAACAGAAACAAAACTTAAGTTATCTTTGGACCTAAAAAGGAGCGAACTAGAGTCAACACACAGCTTCAGTTATTACAGCTAGAAACTAGAGATCAGGCCAGAAATCACATAAAGACAGTTATAAAGTCGGTCTTCTACCACCTGAAGAACATTCCCAAGAGTAGAGGACTAATTAAGGAAGATCTAGAGAAACTTATCCACGTGTTTATCTTTAGTCGAGTTGATTGATGTTTTTCTGCGGTGTTTTAGAGTTGAATTCTGCCTGTAGTTTGAGCAATGGCAGCAGAGGAAGTGAATAAAGTCATTTAGTCAGTGTTGGCCCCATAAAGAATTAACATTCAGCCATCTTGTTCAGCTAGCTCTTCTCTCTTTGCAGTGGAGGATGGTCGTTTACAGCTCAGGCGATTTCCAGCAAGCTTCATACCGTCAAACTGGCGCATTACATGGCCAGACATTAGCAATTGGGTAAGAGTTCATATTTAAAGAAAATAAACTTGAGAGACCACTACAGTAAGCCACTGTTTCTCAAGAAAAGCATAGAACAAGGGACTGGTTTACAACCAGGCTAAAAACAAAGTCACCAGAAAATAGCCACTGAATGCTAAAGGAGTCACAACCACAATTAGCAACACCATTTTAAAATAACTAATTAGCCAGCTTACAGTCCCTTTTTTTAAACTACCTGATTATATCAGTTATTTGTAAATGACCATTGACCTATGCCTACTGAACGCTTTTATCAAGTCGAGTTTGACCCTATAGCAGGTCTCATACCAAACCCGTTTGGAATGTCTCAGTTGGCACTCGGACATGTAGGTACCAGTTCAAGGTTACGAGGGAAGTGCTGCGTGTCAGGGGATTAAAACAGAACAAGGCCGGAAGAGTCTGGGGTGAGATCTTTATTTCAGGCACGGAAAGAGTCTCTTCCTCTGATGGCGCCACTGCCTCCGCCACTGTTCCATTTCCTCTTCCTCCTTCTGGTCGCCGCACACACATCCCGGTCCTCCGTGGATGAGCCTCCGTCTCTCCCCCCGCCCCCCGCGGTCTGTGAGTGAGTGTAATGAATCCCTCTAAGTAACCCGTCTGGCATCCAACAATTTAAGAAATTAAATTAAAATCTTTTAGGGTGAAATTTCTACACCTGTAAACGGGCATAGAAATTGTGAAGAGACCCACACAGCCATCATTATAAATCACTTTTATTTAAATCAGCGTTAGGCAGTTATGCTATGAACGACACAGGAAAATAAAAACAAAAAAATTGACAAAAAAGAAAGACATTAAAACATGAGATCCAGTTAACAATAACTGCACTTGGCACTGGATAAGACGTTCATGGAAAGAGGGGGAAGAAAAAAAAAATTATAATAATAACGGTACACATTTTTCATACCCGAAATAGAAGTGCCTCCAGTAACGCGTCAAACCGCTGGAGCCTGGAGAACTTAAATACGTTTCCTTTTTCTCAGATATTGTGATATTTTCCAGCTTCAATGACCGCTCAACCTGCCTGCGACGCGGCGGTGGCCACTCGTATCCATTCGAGATTTACATCTAAAGAGAAGGTAGAAATTAACAAATACTCACTCCTTCCCACTTCTTATTAACCGTTTCCCCTCCCACAACTAACCCCAAAACGTACCGTCACAAACTCTGTCAAGCTTAGGGGCTTTCACTTTTTCTGTCCCTTTATGAATCAACCATTAATTTCTTTTTTTTATATATATATATATATATATATATATAAAATAAAAAAAGAACAAGAAATCTAAGAAAAAAGCGCAAGAATGTGTCACTCTGTGCATTCCATTTCCAATGGGTCAATGCACAACACCAGGAGGAAATTCATGAAAAAAAACACACACAAAAAAAAACAGTAAAGTAGAACTTAAGAATCCAGCCACAGAAGAGCAGAGCCATAACCCCTCACCCAGAAAACATGTCATTTATATATATATTTATATATATATATATTAAAAAAAAAAAATGTGATCAGTTCGCGCTCGCCTATAACAGATGCTGAAAGCGGCCGTGGCTGTTTGTGATGGGCTGTGAATGCGACGTTATGAGTTTGAGACTTTGCATCGTTTTAATCCTCCTAAAAGGCCTGAAGCTGGTGGAATGACCCATTTACCAGGTGAGCATCTCCACCATGGAAAAAAACAAACAAAAACACAGTAAAAATAAAACATTTCAAATCACGAAGCAGGAAGTTACTTCGCGGGGTTGTGGGAGGCTTCCTAGACCAGTTTTGAGCCAATCCTCGAACAGGAGAAGAAAGGAAAAGAGGAAGGAGGAGAGAAGAGAAGAGGAAGGGGAAGAGAGAGAGGTAAACTCTTGATACTTTCAGATGTTTGAGGAAAATTCAAGAGCAGCTGATACATTTAGGAAAAAGAAAAAAAAAGAGGGATAAATAGATATAAACTCTGCAATAAGGGCGAATGGAGGAAATGTGTGTTTGTGAATCTGTGTTTTCAGGTGTGCGGCTGTTCTGTCCGTCCCGGTGCTTTATCTGACGGTGACTCCGAGTTTTTCCAGCACGCGGACTCCTTTCTCCTGGTACTCCTCCCGGGTCAGCCAGAAGTTGTCCTTGTCCTTCATGATGTCGGCCAGCACCGCTCCACCCAGGAACACCATGTGCTTTCGCCTGGGAGGATCCTCAATCCGGATCTTAAATTTCTGCACGACAAGGGGAACGCAGAGGGAGTTATAATAAGTTTACAACACAACAGCGTGTTCCCCAGCGAAGGCCTTCGTGGTTTCTCTGATCCGCGCGGCGAGGGAGATCGGGATCAAAGACCCAACCGGCCTCTGCCGTGGATGAAGATACGTTTTTGTTCCCGGGATCAGGATTTGTGCCACAAAACGAGTAGTTACCATGATTAAAATCAAGCTAGTTTGCATTTACAGACTCAACGTTTTTATAGTACGACCTTGAGGTTCCTCTCAGTTTATCTTCTCGCAATCCTGCTCCTAAATTCAGATGTTGAAAGACAAACCCAGCAGTAAAAACAGTAGTCAAGAGTTCCTACACATCTTTTTCCCCCCCATTCTTAAATTCCAGATTTTTTCAGATTCAAATTTCCCACTAATTTTCTGAATTACCTTTAAGTTTCTGTGAATATACAGCAGAAAAGAAAGCTAAATAAACGGACTGATTGAGAGAGAGCTGGATAGATCGAAAGATGGACAGATGAAGAGAGAGAAAACTGATATCTTTTCATATACATAAAAAAAACGTATCTTGAAATTTCTCCATTTTCATATTTAAAATTTCACAAATTACCTAGACTAAAAGCAGCTTTTAAGACACAAAGTAGGACAAAAAAACCCCACTAAAGATATATATATATATATATATATATATATATATATATATATATAACAAAATAAAAAAAAGTGGCAACATCAGAACTTTGTCCTGAATATTTATGCATCAACTTCACAAGAGTAGTGACACTTCATATTCAAAGAAAAAAAAAAAAAAAAAAAAAAAAAAAAAGTTGAAGCAGCGAACCACAACAGTATTTTTTTTGGCTATGGGGGGACACAAACTCCGAACATAATATTTATATAAGTTATTACCTTGTAAATTTTATTTGGTGCATGACACGTCAGTCTCAATATTAAATCCTGCAGGCTGCAGTGCTAATGACGCTTTCTGGAGTCGGCTTTTATACAATAAAAAGTGTTCATAATGTTTTCCTTCCTGCTCGTTGGTTACATTCATTTCCTGGGAAATGTTTCAAAGCCTAATGTGACGCGAACTGAAACGATCTGAAACACAGATGCTTTGTAGAGTTATTACACATCAAATGTGTAAAACGTGTCAGGAGCTTCCTCACATCGAAGGTTAGATTGAGATCAAGTCAGTCAGGTTATGAAAGATTAAAAGACTCCAAAACACTGGAGGAACAACCCAGTTTCCTCTCAGTAGGGTGAAAAGCAAAGCTTGTAGTTTATTGATCAGAGCAAAAACTTAACAGAATCTATAGTTTACAACTCAAAATATGGTTGTGCTTTTTAAAAAAAAAAAAAAAAAAAAAAAAAAAGATTTTGCTATATTTTCTGACAACCAGATTCTTCCTGCATTTCCTATAAGAGGGAAATTTCAGTACAAAGATCTGTGAGGTTTTATCAATCTTTATACTTCACAAATTGTTAATAGAACATTTTTGTCTTGACTTAGTTAAGTTTTTGTTCCAGTTTTCTAATTTCTGTTTCATATATGCAAGGCTGAAAATGTTACATTTGAAAAAAATTTATTTTTTTTTAAATTATTCTTCTTTAACTTTATTTTTGGATTTCCTGACACTAGCTCAAAAGGTAAATTTCATTAATATTTATTTTAAGACAAAAAGAGAAATATTATGAAACTCACTATTGTTTGAGCTCATATTTTATTCTTATTTAACAGCCAAATATCTTAATTGCTTTTTTCTTGTTTGTAATTCTTGTCTCTTTTGTAAATGAGATCTTGGATCTCAATAAGAAGCCGTACAAATAAAAGTAAAAAAAAAAATTAAAGATAAAAGCTGTCATTTATTTTTATTGTTCCGATAGTTAAATAAGGAATACTTTTTTTAAACACAATTTCTTACTTTCTCCAGAAAATCTCAGATGAAACAAAAAGTATATATTTTAATAGTGTATGGCATACAAGAGGTAACCCTATAATACAAATCATAGCATTAAGTGAACAAATAAATAAGAATACAAGGTTACTTTCACCTCATTTCAAGATCATTTAACAACCCAACTAAACTTTCTGTTCTCTGAATTGTCAAAACTCAAGACAGATGTTTTATTTTTTTGGGTTTTTTTACTGTGACGATATGGTTTTCTTCATTTCATTGCTCATATTAAAGGATATAAATCAAACAGCTGCCATTTACAGCTGAAGTTCAATGTAAAATATAGGACTGGATTAGGACAGTAAAGTGAAACTCATAGGAATCACAAAGATGAAAGTCTTTTACACTTTTGGCACCACCTGGTGGTTGGTTATGTACACAGCATCAAAAATACAAAATCGTAATAATCTGTTTTGCAAACTTCTGGGAGATAAAATAGTCTGAGTTTCTTTAAAACTCAGACTAAAATAAACACCTAAACCTTTTTCCACTTGTTTGAAGCTCCAGTAAGACTAATCTGATCTCTGGATGTCTAATTTCAGAGAATAAAACCTGAACCTAAAAGTTGCATTTCCTTTAAAAAGAGATTAAGTGTTTGCAACTCAACTGATTGTGATATAAAATCATTGCAATGGTTTCTCCTCTTCCTGCCACATCCAGACAGTTTTAGGTCACACAGTCAGTTTAGGGGAAAGATGTGAGGGTTGGTCTCTCACCGAAAGTTTGTCCACGTCTCCCTTGAGCACGCGCTCCAAGTACAGCTGCTTCAGTTCCCTCTCCAGTCGGGACGGCAGCCCTGGGTACATGGTGGATCCTCCCGACAACACGATGTGTTTGTAGAACTCAGGCCTGACCGGAGGGAAGATGGATGACATTGAATGAGACTTGAGAACCCATCGTCCTCGGGTGAGTATAGCCTTAAAGTCTTAAAACATTCGAGATTCACTTCAAACACAGATTGACATCCTCTCAGTGACCACGTCATTGGTTTAAAAAAAAAGAAGGAAGAAACTGACTTTACCTGACAGTAAAGATCAAGAGATATAGGTTGCAATGGCGTATTGGACTCTTGGGTCTCACCTGGTGTCTATGTCAGCGGCCTGGATGGTGTTGAAGAGGAGCTCGGCCACTCCGACGCCCTCCACGTTGATGAGGTGGGGCTGGAACAGAGCCTCAGGGGCCTCAAAGCGCTCTCCTCCCACCTTGATCACACGGCCATCTGGCAGCTGGAAACGTGTGGGAGGGAATGAGATGAAAAGAGGAGATGTTGGTAGAGCGCCTTGGGGTGCGATTCCAGGTTAAGGTACAACATTACCAAAATGGTTCTGAACAAAGTAGAACCTTCCCCAAACCATTTGGAAATACTGTTTTCCCTAATTTGGACATCAACATTCTCTAATGAGTGCAGATAATGAGCAGCCACAGAAACTGTGAACTCTAAGCCATGTTGAGCCAATGTGTTCAAGTGTTAGGGGGGAAAAAAAAAAGGCTTCATTGAGTAGAGAGCAGTGGGAGGAAGTGGAGCCCAGCCGCTGCCACAAAGTGGCTGCACAGGAAATGATGTCACGCACAGTTCTGCAGCCCTTCGGCCACAGTCACATTGCCCTCCTTGTTTCGGTGCGCCTTGCGCGCCGACTCGCCTACACCAACCATAACACACACACATGGTCACAGTGAGCGCCGAGACACAACATGAGCTCAAAAAGGCGTGCAGGAACACAGACGTTTAGATTCTGCGGTTCCCCTTTCCAGAGGGGGGAAAAAGAACCTCGGAAAGAAAAGCAAGGCTGATGGCGGAGAGCTGCACGCCCAGATGTTTGAGACCCAGAGAAAACAGCACTACCCCACCATTAGGCAGCCGACTACGGCCATGTGGCAGTCCCTCCAGCTTGCTGCTGATATTTTAATAACCTGCTAGTTTCGGTACTTCATAAGGAAACCTTTGAGACGATTTCTTTGATTATGATGCGCTATGTGGCAACGTGAAGCTTCAGTTGGTGTGTGGAGTATGGGAAGAAATTATTTTAGATTAAAGAAGTAGACTAGACGTTGATGTTCCCCTCCCGAAGGGGTGTGTTTTCACTGGCAGGGATACCTCAGGCCTGGAGAATGCAGATGTTCCAGTTTGTCACTTTTGTTTTACAAGCGACTGAAAATCTGTATGCAAGTTCTATTCTAGACACCTGGAGGTGGACGATCCACACAGACGGTTACATGCTGTCTACAAGTGAAATGTTTTTCTACAGTTTACTCTTTCTTATTGTGGATATATTTTATAAGTTGTTCTCTTTGTTGTTGTTTTACTGTTGGATATCAAAGAATTTGTTTTCTATTCCATCACCAACCTCTAAAACGCCTGACTTGACGAATCCGATTTTGGCTGATACTGATTTGTCTGTAAAGTTGCTAGATATTAAAGCTGCACCCTTGTCTTGTCTCCAACAAGTGGTGACACCTGCAGTGATTTAGTAATGACGGATCCAGTCAACTGCCCCGACTTACTGAGCTGAAAACCTGCTCTACAGGACTACTGAGGGGTTTAGCTGAGCCAGAAGAAAAAAAAAAAGTTTCTGGCTTGGTTCTGTAGCATTTTTCATTTTATTGCCCTTCAATATTACCCATCTTATTAAAGTATTTATTTATTTTTTACCATTTTAGATGTCAAATGAAATGCAATTTTATGTTTTTTTTTTTTAGATTTCTGTGTGTTCTCATATCCTCTGTTGTTCCCTTTTTTATGACCGTTTCCTCAGTTCCACATTTGCAGACATTTTATTTTAGCCGTCTAATAATTACTATTATTTTATTAACCTATTATGGTGTGACTGCAGACTATGTTTGTTCTTTAGTTTTAACTTCTCTGAATTAATTTGAGTATATGAAAAGTTCCCTATAGAGAAAATCTTATTCATAGAGACACTAAATATAGAAAAATGAGCTAAAGAAGTAACTTTCACACAAGTTAAGAAAAAAAAACTTTCATTCCAAATCTATTCAGTGGAAGTGAAATTCCAGCAGAATTAAATAACGTAGAATTGTGAGAAGACGATACAAGCACAGATATTTTAAAGCGATTTGTTTAAGAACGTTTGTAGCGGTTGAATATGAAGAATGCAACTCCTGTATTGAATAAAGAAAATAAATGGTGCAATTTCTCACCACAGCACTTCCTTTTCTCCATATATAGAAGTGAACCAGCTGAACCAGAAGTTACCCCTTTCTAACCAATGCAGGCCACTGGTTACGCAATAAGGTCTGTGAAATACACCTTCAACTCCATTTCAGGAGTTTATCAAGTGACATCACAAAGGAAGTTAGACCAATTGCACAAAAATCATGAATAAGTGCAGATGTACCGTATAAGACTCCACCAACACAGTGGTCTCCAGAGCCAGCTTCTGCTCCTGCTCGATGTTGTAGCCCACGTAGCACAGCTTCTCCTTCATCATGCGAACCGTCTCAAAGTCTGCAGAATGGTTGAAGGCGTAGCCCCTCAACAACAGCAGCTAAATCCAGAGAAAGAAGCAGCAAACAAAATAGGGAGAGGGAAGCTGGATTAGATCAAATCAGGGCAGTAAAGCTATTTTTTTTTCCGTCTTCCTTGGAGACCGTATACCTTTATGAGGTAGCGGGTGATGTCCCTGCCTGCGATGTCCAGACGTCGTGTCAGGTGGGGCAGACTGAAACCCTCATACACTGGACAGATGTGTGTCACACCATCGCCCGAGTCCACCACCACACCAGTCAGAAGGCCTGGCACAAGCAAGCAGGGCAGGTTATTATTTATTCCCTGAGTAAATGTTGATCAGAGAAGTGATTTATGACGAAGGGGGACAGACTTGTTGAGTGGAGAAACAAAAACATTAAATAATACCAACATCTTAATTATCGGGATTCGTGCAAATGAATTAAATCTCCAAAAGCATTTTAAGATTATACAGAGAAAGGTTGACATCTTAGAGCAAAAACATTACATCCAAGTTTAACTGCTCTATAACACTCTCATATATGAATTGTGCATACATATGGGGTGATACAAGCTAAGAGCTGCACCAATCAACTGGTTAAAGATACAAAAATAGGGCAAAAAGGGCTTATGTGGGCAGTTGCCCAGGGCGGCAAATTTTTTGGGGGGCCCAATGATTTTTTATCCCCCCCCCCACATATGTTTTTCAAACATACTTTATAATAAAACTCATAAGCAGGTGAGTTGTACTATCATTTTGGGGATTTTTTAAAATACATATAAACAATATTGAAGTATTTGAAAGTCATGAAGTTATTGTAGATTTTTGGAAACAATATAGAACTATTGGACAGGGGACATATTAAACCTACAATGTATCAATTCATACCTGTTGATATATAGGACTATGTATTAATGTACTATAATTTAGCAGAAGAATTTTTCTGTAGTGGGCAGGGCACCAAAACTGGCTCGTACTGGAATGAGTGTGGGAAAATATCTCCTCCACTGTATGAAACTCCACCCATTAGAGTGCAGGAGACCTCATCAAACCCTAAAACTGTTCATCACACTTGTTAGTGTAATGATAATAGGTGATGCTTTTATAGCCAACACTGGTCATGTATGCCTTAGATGAAGGGAGAGGACATAAGGGAAGTCTAATACAGGAATAAATCAAATCAACTATTGGCTTTTCTAACAGTTTGTCATTTAAAAGACTCATTGTTTAAGATCCAATTTTTAAGCAAGAATTAAGATTTTTGTTAGACAAAATCTTCTTACATGAAGACATGATTGATTTAATTCAGCAGAAATATGGGAGTGAAATATTGTTGAACAAGTAAGAAAAGGCATCATAAGACAGTAATCGTTTGATTAAACCAGGGATCTGCAACCTGCAGCTACGGAGCCTTCTACAACGGCCCTTAACAACTTTGGACAAAACAAATAGCAGGGTGTTTGTTATTGAATAATTGCAATGAATTTCTAGAACAAAGTGACTCAAAAAAAAAAATACTGTCGGTACCTTTAAAGATACATTTCTTATCATTAGGTTTAAAACAAAAAAAAAATATTTCCACAAATACAGAATTCATAAAAGAAGTGCTCTACTAGCAAATGTAGATGTGTTTTTGTTATTTCAAAACCTAAAGACAGAATTGAAATAGCGATTCTTTAATAAAAACAACAAACTACCTTGAGTAGATATTGACCAAATGTTATGAGAGTTGTCTTTAAAAAAAAAAAAAAATCATGTAACAACTGTGGCTCCAAACCAGTTTCATTTAGCTGGACTGACAGTAAAAAATTGCCCTTTGGGTTGTAAAAGTTACAGATTGATGGTATAAACCTTCAACCATGGCATGAAAACCTTACCCTGGGCATACAGTGTCAGGACAGCCTGGATAGCGATGTAGACTCCTGCAAACTGGTAGGTCTCAAACATCACCTGCGTGGAGGACGAGCAAATGTATCGGTCTGATAAGAAACAGCTAGCAGCACATGCAAACATTAGCTTTTTAAAATCATCATTTACAAGAATTTATATCAGTGTCACTTCTGCAAAGCTTTTAATACATTGCATCCTCCGTGACAGCTTGTTTAACTCCCTTCAATCAGGCAAAGTAAGCTGCTCCAAAACAGACACGCGTCGCTGTACCTCGATGATTTTCTCCCGGTTTTTGGTGGGGTTCATGGGGGGTTCGGTCAGCAGGATCTTGCAGTTGCGAGACTCGATGTTGAGCTTCTCCGGGCCGAAGGTGTAGTCCCAAAGGTGCTTCATGTCATCCCAGTTCCGGACAATGCCGTTCTCCATGGGGTAGTTCACCTCCAGCATGGAGCGCAGCTCGCTGGCCTCGTCTCCCACCATCAAGTCCTGGAGGAAGGAGACAGCAGAGATGAATACTTTAGGATTCATGAAGCTCCTCGTTTGGATCGTCTGGTGTCACTCAGACAAGTTGAAAACCAATAGGGCTGAAACGATTAATCAAATTAATCGTGATTAAGCGTATTAATCGCAATTAATAGATTATTGAAATAATCGGCAATTAATTTAGTAATCAATTAATCGCTCAACGTTCTCTAAAAATGGCCTTTTGCTGAAAGAACTCCACAGTCAGAGAGGCAATTAAGACAAAACTGTACAAAAAGGTAAACATTTTGATGACACCTTCATTGTAAATATGTTCTACCCAGAACTCCTCAAGTGGCATTTTTAGCTTCACCTGGTTCAAATTCTAGAGAGAAAATATATTAAGCACTTTGATCCAAAAGCACAAACAGATTAGTTGACGGTACCTTTTTTTTTTTTTTTTTTTACTGGAAATGCATCCTTTGCTAGAAATGATCAAGTGTTCACTAAAGGAATGCTTTGTTATTGCATTTTAGGAAATAAAATGTGTTTTCTTATTTAAAAAAAAAAGCAATTGAATTGTTGATTTGTACCTTTTTAATGCATTTCTAATAGCGTTTTAAAACAGCTTAAGTGACTAAACGAAAATTCAGCAAATTTTTAAAATCTGATTAATCAGTAGAATAATTGATTACTAAAATAAATCTTAGTTGCAGCCCTATACAGTAACTTTATTATGTTCTGGTCCTCCTTGAAGACTAAAGCTTATACAACTTGCGCCATCTGTCTACTGGCAAACAGATGTGTTCCTGTAGCCTTTCAGCTTGGGACTCTGTTACCCAGCATGCACTACAAAGCATCATTTTTCCATGCATTTACACCTGGAACCACTTCCCCTCGGCAATAGCAAACCACCCCTCGACCCCCACATCCAACCATCCACATGCACGGCCACCTTGGCAATGTACACAGCTGCCGGGTTAGAACGCGGCGTTAGCCACACAGTCAAGCATCTCACGTTCTGCTTGGAGACATCAAAAGCCGACTGAAAGCAGCCATTTTATGGGTTCATCCTGTGTGCTTTGGCATCAACAAAATACCAGTCGCAGGCATCGCCTCGATGTGGTCTTTAAAGGAAACCAGATGTCCTCTCATCTCAGACTCCCAGCTGTCTGCCATGCGTCCTCGAGTGAGGACTCTACTACTTCTTCTTCTGCTCCTGACTGGACGCTGCGTTAAAATGACTACAGTTCCGACAAACATGTAACCGGGGAGAACCCAGAGCTTAAGCTGACATTTAAATTTCTCTCCCGCTTAAAGCAGCAGCAGGGTTGAGGTGGGCGTTTTGGCTGTCAGGGCGCACGACGAGATCAGAGGCTCTAAAAATGGAAACGGTCCAAAATCTCTTTTAGCGCTCCATCGATAACAGCTGGCCTCTGATTCATCGCAGGCATTTCTGCCAACGCGCTCAGCCTGCAGAAGGGAGTACATTAACAAAGTGATGGATGTCTTCCTTATTCCCTGCCACTCACTTGGCCCAAACACACACACACACAAAAGAAGAAATCAGCAAACAAATTAGGTGTTAAATTTAAAAAGAAAAAAGAAAAAACCAGGTTCCTCATTTTCAGTTATGCATGACATTTAAAAACCATCCGCAGCAGGCAAGAACAGGACTCCCACAACAACCTGAACTTACCATCTTCTGGGAATTCTACTTCACCGAGGGAGAACGAACGAGGAGAAAGGGCAAGACAGGTAGGAAAAAAAACAAAAGACGAATGAAGGAAAATAAACAGGAAGAAAAGTCAAGACAGGTGTCAATAAGAACCCTCTGGTGTCTCCAAACTGATTACCTCTGAACTTACAACACCTGATATCTAAAACTGATTTACAGGTGGGGGTTTTCACACAAACCGTGTCCTTTTACTAAGAATTTTAAGGAATATATTAAGAAAGAAGAAAAAAAAAAAAGAAAAGATTTTGGTCAGATAAACCACTTCGTACCTTGATCTCAATGTTTCCCACTTTGGCTGTGGAGCGGATGATGGGCCTCCCAACAAGCGCAGGGAAGATGTGCTCTGGGAAGTTGGAGCCTGCATAGCCGCACTTGACAAACTGCAAGAGGCAAAAAGTGGCCAGAGGAAAGAGGAAGTGATCAGCAGATGCATTAAAGTGCTTCAGACATATACAACCCAGAAGTTAGCTCTAGAAATCTTGCGAATGAAACCAAAACCTTTAACATTTTTTTGATTTCTTGCATAAATATCCAAGAGAAATTTGTGGGCTGCACCTCCAAGGCTTATAAGGTTTTGAAGTTGGGATTTTCTTATTAAAGTTAATTTAATGGGAAGGTACTGGAGTTTCAAAGAACTAAAAGCTGCCTACACTTTTCAAACGAAGGTAAATTTGTCGGGTTTGGGGAGATTTTATTTTTTTAATCATTAAAAACAAAGTCATCACAATATAAATATGTGGATTATCACAATCACGAAGAACCAAATATTATTTGGTATTCCACAAACTTTTATGTTGCAACCACTCAAATCCTGCAAGCTAACACTATATTTAGTAAGTCGGATAAGCTTTCAATGTACTTTATGGCCCCACTTTGTGATCTTCATGACCCACATGCTAACGATCAAGTTCCTAATTGGGTCATTGTTACGATGGAAAATAAGAAAAATAATTTGTATCATAATACTCAAGATAAATACTGCAATTTCGTATTTTCCTAACTTTAAGCAGCTTTAGTGAAGGCGGTGAAAAATGTGGCTTTTTTACATAAACTCTTCATACGATGAAACTCGTATGACAAACAAGACCCAGTGACACAAAATAAAATTGTTGAGACCATAAGCTTGCCCTTTAGAATTAAATGTGCAACTTTACCCCATCAGTACAATGACCAAATATTCCAAACAATTTTGTAACAACCATCTTCATGGTCTCTTGTTGCAACATTTAGCTTCTGTGCACAAAGCACTCGTTTCAGTTGTGTAACAGACAAATGAAGGACCAAAATAAATAAATAAGAACTGTTCACACTTTAATCCTCTAAATTAGGAGCACAATATTTAAGTAGAGAAATTAGTTCAACCCTCCCTTACCAGCTTCAAGGAAAAGCTAAGATTTTAAAATAAGGTCATTTCTTGTGCTGATTTACAGCTCTCTGCATCGGCAGCTTTATATATAAAAGTCAGTCATCTCACACTGAACTCAGAATATGTGCCTGTGACATAAGCGACTGTGGTTTAGTCTCTTCTCACTTCCTCTTGACTTCTTTATTCAACTCTGACATATGGCTGGGTTTTTTTTCTCTCTCTCTTTCTCTTTGCTGGCTTCACACAGAGCTATTGAAAAATTCACATCCAAAAAAAGCCTTATTAGTCAGTAACGCGCTGAGCCAACATCCTCCTCGACTGCTGACTGTGTTTAGATAAGGAAGTCCCAGATGAGACCGTGGTACCTGTGTGTGCAGTGAGCACATTCCTGAGTTTCGGCAAAGATTAGCAAGTCGAGTGCGTTGTGCATTTCAAGAGGCAGAAAATACACCGAAATCAGCTCAGGTGTGGCGACACAAAAAGTAAACTGTTAAATAAACTTGATATATTGCAATGTGTTTGAAAGATTTTGTAATAAGATACTTTTAATCAAACATTTGTGTCATTTTCCAAGCTGCAATGGAGAATGTAGATTTAGTTTTTGAACCAGTTAAGCTTTTTTTTTTCTGGCAAATGCCACTTTCTGATCTTCTAACTTATAATCTTTTTACTCCTTTAAATTAAAAGCAAAGTTGAAAAATGTGTTGCAGGTTCTACAATAAAAAAATTGCTTTGAATCCAACAAAAAATGAAAGAACTACTACTGTGTATTAAAGCATATATAGCCAGACTACTTGATTTTTAAGGATTTTATTTGACCTGTGAATTACCGATTAGAGTATTGTTGAAATATTAGCTGAGTTTGAGCTCTGACCTTCTGACTGGTGCATCTTTAATTCATCAAGGGTTTACATATGCACAATCATAATTATCCTGTAATTGAGCAACCAAAGATGTCAGCTAGAATGCAATAAAAAGAACGTCTTTATCAATTAGTTGGGAAAATCACCATACTCTGTTGATAAATGGTAGATATAATTGTGATTGTGTCGGTGTACAGCAATAAATTTAAATGCATCAAAAACAAAACTGATCCAGGTTTAAGGGTCATAAATAAATTGTCACAAATGTCTGCCTTTAAAACAGCGAAGATTTTAATGTGTGTGAGTATGAAGTAATTAGGATGAAATGGCAAAAATGCGCCTTAAGATTGACATATTCATTGGCTAATAAAAACCCAACACTGGTCGACCGCTGTGACAAATTTATGGTTTTAATGTTTGGAGGTATTTTTCCACATAAGTGAAGGTTCGCATGCTAGCATTTCCTGTATCCGGCGACTTCCTAAAATGCTTGTCAACAGCAACGGACCTAACAATTAAAAAAAAAATGTGTGAAAAGCGGTTAAAACATGATTGCGTTCGTGTGTTTTTCACCCTGTCTAGCCGCCGCCAGGTAATATTTTTTGGGCGAAGTCGCAGCAAAGACTATTCAGGAGGTTCCTCTATTCACCTGACACGGCCTAGATAGCCTTCCACCTAGCTGTTGATGGCAATTTATACAAAAAATCTATTCGTTTAAAATTATAAACACACCAAATGAATAGCAAAAATAATTTAACTGCAAATTACGAGCTTTTGTAGAGTAAATCTCTATAAATCCCTGACGCTGCTAGCAGACAACCAGCTGTTTAACCTGACAGGCTACTTAGCTAGCAGCTTTAGCTCAGCTACCGTTGGTTACGATGAACAGTTCCCATTAGCCGCGATTTTAAACAACACGAGAGCTTCAGTCATAGCCACTAATTCAGCTCTAAACTTGACAACTGCAGAAACTCAGAGAGGTATTTTCGAGGCGATTTCGGATGAATGAAAATTTGCTGGAAACGAAGCTACACGCCCAGTTCAGGCTAGCTAGCTTCAGACGCTGACAGCCCCACTTCCTGTTTCAGCAAATTGTTCGACATTTCGGCTCCATCTAAAGCGAGGTGCAGCTCGGTGAAGCAGCGAGCCGAAAATGCAAACCTACCCCGGTTCCATTGTCACAGACCACTACTTTCCTTCCCTGGCTGTCCATTGTGTAAAAGCCCAGTTGCCGCTGAACCCTCCTCAACTTTCTTCGGCAAGCCGGAAGGAAGACACAGCAGCCCGGCCAAGAAGAGGAAGGGAAGGGTGCTCATCCGGTATGTGACGGAGGCGCTAAAATCAACGGTTACTTCCTCTGAGATAGTTCGGTCTTCGACATAAAATGCTTTTATTTATACATATATAGTTTCATAACCTTATTACATTACCGCGTAAAAGTCTTTAAAGTTTTTATTTTAATGTCTTACCAAAGTATTATTTTTCGTTATTTGACTTCAAGACATCTTTTATGCTTGAGCTGTTCTATCAAGATGATTCTCTGATTTGTAGTTGCAACTGTGGAGGCCAGCAAATGCCAAGAAATAATAAAACCGTAAATTTGTTCCATCTTCTATTTAACTGTTTTACGTGAATTGCATTAGTATCACTTTCGAAGCCACTCATATTCACGTTTATCAAAAAAAATTAATGAAGTTTGTGTTTTGTTTTTTTAAGTACTGCTACTTGTTCCTTTCTCCTTCTCTTTGAAGTCACGTCATATGTTGCCATGGAAGTGACTCTACTTACTAAGCAAAATTATATCGGTTCAGACAGCTGGCAATATGCATTTGCCTCATCACCTGTGACTCATCATTCTGCCGAGATATGAACTTCCCTTGATGGATGATCACATAGCATTTGTAACAGCACCATCTTGTTGCCTGTCACTGTTTATGCTGTTACTGTATTGTGTTTCTTTATCCTTGATTTTTAACAGGAATGCGTTGACTAGTATGGGGTTCCATATGTGCGAACGCATATGCAACATTTACATATGCATCATCTACATGCAACATAGACCAACGACACATAGCAACGACACATCTACACGTATGACTTCTACTTATTTTTGATACAAATGGAACCCCATAGACTAGAGGTGTACTGCATATTGTCATCACAGAATGATAATTTGCTGAGGAGTTTTTCTGCGAAGGCCTTCTGTGCAGGAGACATAGCGGAGCACTGTGGATCAAAACAGGTGAAGTTTTTTTTGTTTACCAAACCCATAAAAAACAGATTCTCGATTAGAAACATGTTTTATGCCAGAGTAGTAAAAATCCCATAATTGCTCAATTAACTTAATGCATAATTCCTCTTACTGTGATTCCCTCAGTCTATGACTTTGTTTCTCATCTGTTCTTGAATATTTCAGATTGTGTCCTTGTGTGTTGCTTTTTGAGATATTTTGTCTCACTTCTCATTGTGAGACTATTTAAATAATTTCTCTATTCTACAGGTTTTGTCAGGCCTGGATGTAGGTAGTGAATTTAAAATACATATTGTAGAAATTTTGTTTTCACATAGGGCTTGGAGACCTTTTTGAATTAATATCAGATATTAATATTTAATAAATTAATATCAGATATAATTTTTTATGATAATCTAAAACATTTAAGTACAACAACAAAAAAACATCACAATTTTTTGAACTGTTACCAGCATTTATTTAAATGCAACTTCTTGAGGACTTCTCAGTTGATCCATAAAGTACATTCTCTATAACATGTGAGCAAAAATCGACCTATAATTTGTTACTTATAAGTTTACATATGTTTAGTCTGACACATTTTTATTTAAAATAAACATATGCCTACTCAAAATATTCAAAGAATACAACATTATACAATACCTCAAGCAAATACATGTCGGTTAATACCACAATAAAATCCAAAGACTGAACCTTAAGACAGTACTACTTGGATACACCGTAATTCAGCTGTATATCTGCTTAAGTTTTAATAGTTAATAGTTTTGATTGCCTTCCATTTGAATAAGATACATTAAATAGCCAGCAGGTGGCATAGTTTGATCCAAACATGACGATCCTTGACCAAACACATTAGGCCAGTAGGGGGCATCTCAGATTGCACTTCTTAAAATCTACATCAGCTCATGTGCTGTACACACACGTATATTTTGTTCTTTATTTGTCTTTTCGAACAAGTGAGTTGTCAGTGGCTGCTGAGTATGAGTAAGAATACTAAAGTAGTTTTGGGGAACTGTGAGCTTCGGGTGCAAGAAAGACAGGGAACATCAGAACTTTGGCCTGCATGAAGGACAAGTCAGGAAGTTCAGAAATCATTCTGCCAGCTTCTCCGCTCAGCTCTTCTTGGGCTGAAGGCTTCCTGATCAACAACGGAAACACAAATAAACAGATTTAAACACGAATAGCTGGTTTCTGCAAGTGGTTTTGTATTAGGCTTAATAAAACACACAAAAATGTACAGCATCTGAACAGTTTTTGCTGACAGACCTGGCGGAAATGCTCGTGCTCCCTGCTGCGGACATCAGGCGGTTCAGAGTGTCTTCTGTCTGACTGGTTTTATTGTCGATTTCCAGTTTGCTTATGATTAATTCATACAGCTCACGGTCGACACCTTCAGACGCGGATATGCGCAGCAAACACATGAAAGGGGACAAAAGCTTCAAGAGAATTACAGGAGCATAAATCAACAATGTTTACGGAAAATTTCACCAACGTCTGTGTGCTGACCTGGAGGAGGACTGCTGGCTCGGCTGCTGCCACTGGATCTGCTCTCATCCTCAGACCCAAAATAATCAAGGTTGAATGAGGAACAGACTGATATCAATAGAAGAAATTGAATGGAAATGAGAACTGAGGCTTTGTTTCAGTCTCTAATTAACCTCACTATTTGGTTTTTAAAGCTTCCTCTAAATGCACTTTATTTTTATAAAAAAAAAAGAGCAACTTAAAGGGGATGCAGTTTCTCCCTATCTGTGTTTGTAAAGAACTATGTTATCTTCATAAAAAACATAAAAAACAAAAAAACATACAAAAATAAATCTCAACTTTGCGTTCAAACCACAGAGCAAAGTTGTACAATTTTAATAGTTGTGAAAGGTATGAGGAGAAGACCAAACAGGGAGGATCAACTGATTTATTTCAGTATTTACAAGGATTTTCCCCAACAGTCTGTTATGCAGCGAATGTCTCAATTTGAGCAATAAAACTGAATAAGAAAAAAAAAAAGATAAAAATAACAGTCTAAGGGAGGGAAAAGAAAACACTGCTGGCACAAGTTACAATTCATCAATAAAAATTTCTGCCGTATTTTTGAAGCAGAAACAATTTTTATCGGTAATGAAAAACAACAAAAATGATTAGAATGATTGTATTACAAGCCTCTAAATGAGGAGTTCAGCTTGTGAGACAAGTTAAGGTGCTTAAATAATAAAGAAAACGATCAAAATCAGTAGAAAGTTACAGCTGGATTGAGGATGCAGGTTTTAAAGCTTTATTTACATTTGTTGCAATGAGGTTTGATTTATTTTTGAATAAAAGTTGTTTTGTTATTTTTAAAACATACTGCCCTCTATAGGTTAGAGGAAATTGTTCTTTTTTTTTTGGGGGGGGGGGGACATTTAAAATTCTCCATTTTAATAAAGAATGCTAGCATTTCAGAAAATGTGGATGTTAATGAATATGAATCAGTGTTTATATCGTTTTCATTTGAGGAGGAATAACATGCTGATAAGGTGAGTTTCTGAAGGTAATATAGGTGTATTTACATTAGTTAGCTTCCCTGTGCATGTTAGCAAACATTCAGTTTAGTTATGCTGGTAGTTAATATTTTAAGTACTGCAGCACAGGCACATTTCATTTACAGTGCAAACCCTCTGAAGATTTTTACATTTAGTAATGCTGACACCACAAACTAGCGTTTGTGATGGATGTCATATGAAAAGTCAACACAAGGAAGTGCAGAAGGAAAACGAGACAATATTCAAAATTGTCTTTGAGAAAAAAACAAATGTGTGAAAATTTGCTGGAGCTAGAGATATTTTGCAATGGATATTTTAATGTATTTTTCATAAACTTTACTTAAAAATATGCAACAATTATGTCCAGTTTCATGACAATTTTCGAATTTTTTTTTTTACCCCAAAAAAGTTTAACAAATAAAATTTTAGCAGATTTAATAAAATATTCCTGAGCAAAGATGAGCTGATGACCTGAGCTGATGTGTGTGTATTGTTTATATTTTATCAGTAAAGCTTTTCTGAAGCTCAGGGAACCGTCAAGGCCTTGTGAGGCAAAAATTAAAAATAATATGGAATTGTTTTTTTTTTTTTCCTTTTTTTGAAGTAGAAACCTTTTTACGTCAAATAAAAGGTGACAACCAAATTATATTGACACCTTTGCAGGAAAAAACAACAACTGAGTTTTGGAGCAGGTATAAGTTAGCAGGTGCACTGCAAAAACACAAAATCTTACCAAGTAATTTTTGTGTAGCTTCTAACCCAAATATTTTAGAACACTTGAAATAAGGCAAAGCTAACTTACAAGTAACTTTTCAGCAAGAAATAGGAGCTTTTGTTGAGTCAGTAATTCCTTAATATTGTTGGGAAAAGTACTAGTTCTAATGGCAGATTAGTTCACTTACAACATGGGGAAAATGTCTTGTTATAAATGAAATAATCTGCCAATGGAACCAGTATATTTGATAAATATTAAGGAATTATTGACTTAAAACAAGCTCGTATGTTTTGCTGAAAAGTTACTTGGAAGTTCGTTTTGTACTATTTCAAGTGTACTAAAATATCTGCACTAGAAGCTACACAAAATTACTTGGTAAGATTTTGTGTCTTTGCAGTGTGCATGCACTGAATATGAATATATTCATCTTTTCCTCATCACAATGGGACTGATAAATACTGAGATAAACGCTCCAAAAGGTCACAGGAGGTAAAGGAAACAACAGAAGTAGAAGATTTTCTTCTTATACTTGCTTTGTTATCAACATAATTTCAGCGCTAACCAGCTGAGTGAAGAAAGAGGAAAAAAAATACAAAAAAATCAAAAAAACGACAGAAGGAGAGCATGCTCTGGAGGAAGTGAGACACTTTTTGGCTTTATAGCAGCAGCCATCGGGCGTGGCTGGCAGACTACTAGGGGTGAGGGGCTCGGCAAGGGGACGTACCCTCCTGGGAGCTGCGAAGGCTTCTACAGCTCCCGTCCGGCTGGTTCGAAGGAAGCTCCTGCTCAGACAAACTGATATCAGTGTTTCGGCTTTAATGCGTTTATTGTCGTGTTGAGTTATCAAACGCCACCTGCGGCAAATGAGTCGAGGGTTTCTGCTTTTCCGGGGGCCCTGAGGTTGCCGCGACGGCCGTGCATCCTGGAGAGCACACAGCCGGCGAAGGGTCTTTGGTGGGGTCCAGCATTCCCTGATGAAATATTAAGAGACTTGGTTACATTTTAAAAAGTGTGGTGAACATATTAAATTAATCACACTGTCGCGCTGTGATTAATCACTATGCTTAACTTTGTAAGCTTGAAACATAAATACGCAACGCAACGCCGCTTCTTCTACCGCACTCCGACCAATTAGGATGAAACGTATCGTCACGGTACTCATGCATGCAAGTAGTAGAAAACTCCTTCAGGGGACAACTGACAGATAAGATATATTTTATTTGCTAGTTCTTGGGTGGCTCCCACCCCTTTCTAATGCCGCCCTGGGCAGCAACTCATATGAAAAACCACCACTGTATGCACATCCCCCCCCCCCACCCCCCAAAGAAAAATAGAATGTTTTATTGTCTAAAATGAAGATTCTCAGTTTTATAGGTTTTCATATTCAGGGAGGTTTAAATGAAGTCATTGGTTTTATCCAAATTTGCCAATGAGCATACCAGTTTGACTCTCCTCGCTCAACTTTTTTTGTGAGTTTGCGTTGTTGACCGCAGTACAAGACCGTGTAACACGCTGCTGTGAACCAGGTAACCCTCAGCGGGACAGAGGCTTTTAGGTATAAATGGGTAATTCGATTAATCAGCACTAGGTAATGTTAGCGTGTTGAATTTAGCAACAACACAAAAATTAGTGCGAACCAAGTTTATCATTATGAAACATTAAAAGTCTGAGGGCTCACCAGGGAAGAGGCATACGCTGGCACAGTCACCGCCTGCTTCTTCGTGCCAATAAAAACCTTTCAGGGGACAAAAACACAACACAATCCCTAACATATGCTGTCTCAGGTTGTTAGGACTCAGTTAAATAAAATGTAATGAACTTACAATGTTCCTAGTGTCCACACCAAGGCACCTGAGCAGTGTTGTGTTACTGTGAGAACCTCCCCACTTAAACTGGAGACCAAGTGAGCAGTGCATGTCCTCAGGTGGGCTGAACATCAGCTGCTGAATCCTGGGAGGAGTAGGGAGAGGAACACAAAAAACAGCAGAAAATGGTTACTTTTGTAACTTAGACAATCTGACTGGATACATACCCAGCTCACGACTGGCAAGTCCAGATCCAATGTGTGCTTAACCACAGAGACTGCAAATCTAAACAATACAAAGGTATAATGAGGCTTCATGCCAAATCAAGTAAAATAATTAGATTTTTTTAAAGGTGTGTCATCATCAGAGGCTATCGGGTTACTTTGGTAAGCATTTCAAAACAGGTTTGGAGAATCAAAACTTTGCAAATGACATGCAAATGTCTATCCTGAAGACCAGATTTGAGAAGCAAATCTGATTCAAACAGCCCTATAAGGTATAATGCTTTATACTAATTGGTATCTCTATGGGCAATCAAACTTGCATTTTGACGGTTCATAGTTGCCCCTAAAAATTATGGAGAATATTATTTTTGCCACATTCTGCTTTCCCCATGCATGCCATGCAGAAAACACACAGATGGACTGCATTTACTAATTGAGTGACTTGTGAAGGCAAGTAGTTGCACTAGATTTTATTTATTGTTGTAAGAGGGTGCTGAATATAAATCAATTCTAATTTAGTTTGTGACATTTTTATGTTACCGATAAAAAAAAAAAAGAAAAAAAAAAAAAGACGGAATTTTGCATTTGGCATGACAGAATATGAAAATGTTCCATGGGTATAACTACAACCCAAACCATTTCTATAGAAATATAACATAAAATGTGAAATTAAGCAGAAAAAATAAATAAATACAAATATTTTTAAAAATTGACCTTCAAATAAATTAAAATATTCTTTTACTACAATACTGCAAAGGGTATCTGCAGGTTCAGCAGGTCAAATTTAAGACTTTGAAAGAGCTTTTTAATGTCACCTTGAACGTTCACCCGGGTTCACTGTGAACCCGGGTTTGCGTCCATAATAGAAGCAAAAAGCTAGCTAGTTTGCAAAAGTAGATGAGCAGCTTTTACCAGAAGCCAAAAAACTACTTCAAACAGTCCTGCCACAACAAACCTGATTAATGTACTTAACATTAAAAGGTAACTTATATAAGAATTCAAGACATTTTAAGGCCTTAATTTTAGACACACAAATTTAAGACCTTTTAAGGAATGCTACTATATGGACACCCTGAATAATTTTGCAGATTTGTAATCCATTCAGAAATTTCATTATAGTCATGAATGTGTTTTCTAACTCTATAGTCTGGACACAGCAGCTGAGTTATTTGTCGTCACCTCAGAGAACGGCTGAGTTCTGGGCTCTTCTCCTCCGTCTCTGGAGGCTGCTGGATGTGAAGTAAAGCACTGAGGTTGGACAGGTCCTCCTCACCTTCCACAGCAGGGACACAGACCTCTGGGAAGCTGGACTGGAGGAGCCGCTGGACATGACAGGACAGGGAATCCTGAACAATTAGAACAAAAAGAAAAAAGAAAAAGTGCTGATGAATGGTAACAAAGCCGAGATTCTTTTTCAAAGATCAGTTCTCTACCTGACAGCTATTCATTCTTGTTACTCCATCTTGTCCATCGACCAGCTCACTGCGCTGTGTCGACGATCTTCCCTCTGTCGGTCCGCTCTGGTTTGTGAAGTCCGCCCACATTGGTCCCTCTTCATCGTCCTGCGTGGGCGCCAAGCAGAAATCGGCAAAGCTGTCACTGGGTGGTAGGGTTCCCAGACTCTCTACTCCCGTGTCAGCTGTCTCAGCGGGTTCCCTGTGACGCAAGGCATTAACATCGGTGAAGTATGTATGTTTCTCTGGGCAGGAGGTAGCCGAGGTTTCCTGAGTGGCATCACAGTGAGGCGCATTGATCTTCAACTCAGATGGGCCGAGGTTCTTCACAGTGCTGCTGACAACAGCGTCAGAATATCCACAGTCTTCCACCTCATCATCAGTCTGGTTCCAAGCAGACTGGCCATGCTGAGATGTAAGGGATGAAACATTTGGTTCCTCTGACGACCAATCGTCATGACAGGACACCCTGTCGGAAGCAGGCTCTGGAGTTTTCCCAACAACGTTTTGCCTTTCCTCAGCTGATCCCAAAAAAGCATTTCCTTCGTCTCCCTGAGGCTGACTGTGGACCTGAGGTGGTTGCACAAGTGCTGCATCTCTTTTCTCACAGTGTTCGCCCTCAACGCAGATACCTCCATTTGCCTTGCAGGCGTGCTGGGATCTAGGCTCAGACTCCATGACAACCTCCTGCCCGGAAACACGTTCGCGTTCATCCACTTTGCTATCCCACTGCTCCGTGAAGCCACAGCACCAGGGGTGTCCTGCCTGCTCTGTGAACATAGCGAAATCAGCAAACTCTGTGTCCTCCACAGAAGAGCCCTGGGCTCCGGACTGTAGGTCTTCTCCAGCCTGTCCATTCGAGTAGTGCAAAGATTCAGGATTGCGGTTCCCAGTTTCCACAGATGGAGTGCGTTGCATTTGTTCAACCAGGTGACCATCCAACTGATGAGTTGCTGACTCTGTGAAGTCGGCATGACCGAGGGGAGAGCAAACGCCCCCTATAGAGAAATTCCCAAACTCATCCTCCTCTGACCCCACTCCGTCATCACCGTCATCATCCAGCGGAGGGGGGGAGTAAGAAGGTGGGGGCATCACGTCAGGCTCCATAAGTTTGTCTAGCAGGACCCAAAGGCCTCATGCATCTGACAGGACAGGTGATGAAAACAAAAAAAGTAGAGTCACAATCCTTTAAGAGTCTTTTTTTATTACATACTGCTTGGGTTAAAGCTTTAGTTATAAACCTATTTAGTGCTGGTGATGAAATAACTCTTGCTTAACAACAGTGTCTTTAAGTTTTGTTCAGGATGCTCAACAAAGCATCCTGAAGTCTTGTTTCTGAAATTTTGTGACTTCAGAAACTTCCTGACATCACAAGAAAATTCTTCTTGTGGTTTCAGAAAGCAGGACCCCCAAGATTGTTAATGTAGCCCTTTTTAATTGGGTTTTATCACTTTTTAATCACCAAAACAAACAAAACCCGCACTGAGAAGCTGTAACACTACAAAATCCATAGTAAGCATGCTTTATATGTGACAAAAGTGTTTTAAATAGGGCTCATACAGTTTAAAACTCAAAAATTAGTTTTCACAAATGTTCAGCACCACACTTTGGAGACAAAAACAATACAAATAAACTACACAGTTTCTATTCACTAGTATATAATATCATTTATAATATACTCAAGATAAATGATATCATTTGACATTCTACAGCAGGGCAAGGTAAACTAAAATCTAACAAAATTTTATGCCTCACAAAAAATGACTTTGGTAATTCTAACTGCCCTAACACCAGAAATTTAGTCTGATTTAGCTTACGGTAAAATTGGTCAGATGTCTTTTCATTATGTGTATAAAAATATCTGGTGTCAAGAGTAAATGACGCTTTCCAAATTTAGGTTTTTAATCAAACGTTTCTCCATGACATCCTCCCACCCCGCACTTTATTACAAAACTGTGCAGTCTGAATGCAAAGCACTTTAAAAACTTTGAAAACACCTAGCTGAAATTCAAGCATTTGAGGATTTCTAGCATTCATTCGATGACATTTTAAAGCATAAAAATAATATGGAATGCTTTTTTTTTTTTTACATATGATTAAGAGCTCTTTTCAAATAAGTTGAAACACTGTAAAATATGAAACACAAACACACAGAACTAATAAACCTCAAATAAAAAATAAAAAAACACTTTGTGACAAAACTTGAGCACAAAGATGGAATGATCCGATTTGGACTGATGCTCGGTCAGTGGTTTAACAAAGGAGCTGGACCGTGTAGGACGGGTAACAGAGGGCATAATGGTAGAGCAATGGTGTTATCAAGAAGTTGCTGAAGCATCTGACAGTCAGCTAAAGTAGCGAGTGAAGGATAACAGAGAGTTGACAGCAAGAGATGTCAGATGTCACTGTGGACTGGTACTGGAACCAAAGAACCACACAGGCCATAAATGTTCCTGTTGCCCAAAACACAACACATCACAAGAAAATCACACTTTGCACTAAATTCAAGACAACTATGTCAAGTCAGAATTACTGAACCCTTTCTGATGCCGTTTATCATCCTGACCAATGTAAAGAAAACAGACCCTTGGACTTGGTGTCGTTTCGTGTTCTGCATCACCATGTGCCATCATCGGCAGCATCTACACCAGCACTCAGAAAGACAACCCAGTGATACTTCTGACATTACGGTGTGCGGAGCCATAGGGTATGACTACAGGTCACTTCTGCTAGCGACTGGGGGCCAACCCGACAGCCTGCCATATGCAATTTACACCCATGTGTCTGAATATCATACCTACAACTTCTTGGGACAACAAACTGGTAGAGTATGCACCTATGGATTGTCTGTGTTGTGTTTAACCAGTTAGGTTGGCATTAGAACATGATTAGTCCAGCATGGGGTAGAAAACAGCTCCTAACAGACACATCAGAGTGTTTGTGATTTCAATAGTAACCTCAGGACAGGAAACAGGGCCAACCGGACATAAACTAATCATCTTGCTTACTGTTGATGGTTGATATATACTTTGCAAAGAAGCTCAAGCTCAGTCAGATTGACTGGGAAGGCTCTGCAAATATAAAATTTTAAGTCTTGCTACTGATTTTGAGTCTATTTAGCTCCGGACCGACACAAGAATCTGCTTTGATTATTCCAGTGTATCTCTGGCTGTATGTTTACGGTCTATTCACTGGATTTCTTCATTGGGATTGCAGTAAAGTCAATGAGACCACGCAAGGGATGTTGCTACATACTCATGCAGGAGTAGTCAATGCTGCAAGTCAAAGTCTCAATGCAATCTGCTGGGTTTCCTTAGTTAGAAACTTTACAAACTACTTTGACTAATCAATTGATAATACAATTGGAATGCATGTAATATTTAAATTAATGCTTCTTTTTTTGCAAAGTGCCTTGATTTGATATTTGTTGTGAACTAGCCCTATGTAAATAAAATAAAATGAACTGAATTGAATTTTATTTAGTGGCATCACGGTAACGGGGACTAAATACATATTCACATTCCAACGTACTCAGACTATATGCAAAGACTCTAATAATACGATACTGTTATCAAGAAGTTGGATAATACTATTATAAAATATAATTTGTCTGTAAAGCAGTTTCTTTATGAGAAATATTTACAGTCATGTACAACAAATTAGAATTTATGTCCCATTGAGTCTCGTTTGTCATATTAAAAGTACTTTTTGAAAATAAGAACATTTTCTTAATACATAATACAATAAACATATTATTATATAATAAGCGAGTACTAACCATACTGTTCATGAAGTCCACGTTTCTGTTTTTAAAATAGGACTTTTTAAATTATAAACATAAAACACCAAAGCAATAAAAAAGTCACTTACAGATGACTAATTTTAAATGCCATCTGTAAGTGGAAAATCGTCTGATATTCAAATTTTTTGAATGAGTCTGCATAAATTCATATGAAGTAAACACGCAGACTGATTTTTGTTGTTGTTGAGACTCTGCTGATAGTTAATATTTTGCGGAAGTTGTCTTTCTGAGTTTCCCTAAAAGTCAGTTTTACATTTATGTGTAACGTTCATGTCTTTAGTTCAGTCGCTGAGGCGTTTGTGGAAAAAAAAAAAGAGAGAGGCCAGTAAACCGATACACAGGAAAGATAATCCGCCTCACAGTTCAGCAGCAGCTCCGCGGTAATGGATTAACGGCTTTATTATACCGTCCTTTAATTTAAACACACGTTAGCGACTGTCTGTTTCACCATTTGAATGGCATTCTACGTCCCTCGTTGTTGTTTTAATGTCTTGGGTTAGCGCAGCTCTTCGGGTTTGTTGTCAGAAAAGAGAAAACCACTGCGGTTCCTACCTTGTCCTTTTCCCCCAGTCTTCATGCTGAACAGAGCAGACAGGTGACAAAAACAGACAAATATGAAGACATAAACATGAACTGAAAACTAACACGATAAAGTAAAAACAGAGAGAGAAGTGGCAAGTCAGTGTAAGCTGACACTGACAATTAGTTTTGTTTTAAACAGAAAGCTGACCCCATTAGCTCATTATTTTTGTTCCCATCGCAGCAGATTAGCTAGCTTTACCACCAGTAACCGGTTTCTGTTGTAACTTATCAGCCGCCATGTTATAAAACCTTATCTCTCTACAAGCGACTAAAAGTTAGTAAATTTTAGTCGGTACAGCTTTTTAGTTTACCAGCAACAATTAATTTTGCTTGCCTGTCAGAACCGCAACCCTGTTCCTCCATCATCTCTCAGCATTATTCTGTATGGGAATGAGGTGGAAACTGGAAGGCAGGACAGAGAAAGAGGTCTCACTCCTCACCATATGTCTGTACATCTTTGCTGACACAGAAATTGAGCAATAAAAACATATAGGATTGGAATTGTCGGTTATAGATCCCTAATTAAAAACATGCGCAGTACATGGGGCAAAGAAATTGCCTCTATTTCTTTCCAAAAGAAATAGAGGCAATTTTGTAGAGTACTGCAATTTGGCAAACCTAGCATCGTGCTACCGCTTTAAAATAGACAATCTATGATGACGTCCAGGTTGCCTGGGTGAAATACTACCTCCTGCTGGCCAAATTTGGTAAGACAATTTTATTTGTATAGCACATTTAAGTGCTTTATATGTTTATAATGAAGATAAAATAATAAGAAAGCAACAACAACAACAAAAAAACATTACAGTGGAGTAATGATGACATGTTGAAAGACAGGGTACAGTTTATGATGTTCCATTTGTTATTCATTAAACAAATGCAGGTTTTTAGCATTGAATTAAAGGAACTCGGTGTTTCATCATTTTTGCAGTTTCCACCTATTTGGAACAAAATTCCATAAAAACTGAATAACCCCATGTCTAATCAGTGTGATCCTGCTCGCTCTGTTGGACTAAAATATTATAATTTTAAGAATATTTAGAAAGGAAAAAAATATTATTTTTTTAAATTAGAAATTGTCAAAGTGAAATAAAGAGGTTAAACTGTTTTTAGCTATGCTATGTAGAAAAAGACACTGCATTACTTGTGCAAGACATTTTGTACGTGTAATTTCAAAATAAATTTAATTTTGTTTTCTTCAATTTATTTATATATCACGTTTCCAACATCACAGGCTGAAAAAAAACGTTCATTTCCAGAATCTCAACTCAAATCTACAGGGTAGCTTATACAATTGTCAATATAACCAACGACACAGCAGCTTTTTTGTGTTCATCATTCTCAGTTTAATTACAGAGTTAAAACAACATGAAGTAAAAGGACCTAAAACACACCAGGCTTCTGTATATAATCCTGTACACCATTTTTTAATTTTTTTTTTAATGTGTGGAAAAAAAATCATTTGCATTCACAATTCTAAACAACGTCTCTAGACATTATGAAGAGCGAAACTGCAGATTAAGAGAAAACCTGCATAAGCGCGTGCGATTTTCTCGCTTCGTGGATCTTCATGTGCACGTTCAGGTCTGAAATCGTGTGAAACTTTTTGCCACACCGGAAGCAGCGAAACGCCCTCTCCCCGGTGATGTCTGTCGTGTATGAGGTCTGTCTGGAGCATATCTTCAGGTGATACGAGTGCGCCACCATTTTGCCGCAGGTGTCGCAGAAGTACGGCTTCTCGCCCGTGTGCTTCCTCATGTGAACCCTGAGGTTGGAGGTCTGGGTGAAGGTCTTCTCGCAGAAGGGGCACCTGTGCGGCTTCTCGCCCGTGTGGACCCTCATGTGCAAAGCCAGGCTGTCCCTGCGGGCGAACTCCTTGTGGCACTCGAAGCATTTGAAGGCCTTGTGTCCGGCGTGGGCCTCCTCCATGTGCCTGATCAGGTCGCAGTCTCTGATGAAGGACACGCCGCACATACGGCAGGACTTCTTATCCAGGATTTGTTCCTGCTGCAGAAAGGAAGCGTCGCTGTGACTTTGACCGAAGTAAGCCAAATCTGAGCCGGGATTCTCATTCCACTCGTTGTGCACGTCGTCGCTGTTCAGAGTCACGGTGATGGAGCTGACGCTTGGTAACAGCTCGGGGTCGCTGCGAGGGGTCGTCTGCGACTCGTAAGGAAAAACTTTTACGTCCTCTGAGGAATCAGTATCCGGGTCAGGGCTGATGCAGACATCCAGCTGCTCCTCTTTAACCTTCTGACACGCCTGACTTTCCTTCTGTTGCTCAACTGGAAGCTGAATTTGATTCTCTGGCACTGATTGGAGACAAAATACACACGATAAATGTTAAACTTCAGAGAAGAAATGTTGCCGAAAGAGTTTTGTGTATTTATTGGCAATTAAAGGTTAGTAAATGTTCACAAAGTTCTTGTGAAGCAACAGAAATCGACAGATGGATTTACCTCTAGCTGCACTACATACATCACAGTTACTTAGCAATAGCTAAGTAACGACGGCGTCGCTACCAACCTCCTTTGAACAATGACACTCGGGGCTGTAAGACGGTCAGCTGCTCGATCTGCTGCCTCAGCTGGATGATTTCTCTCTTGGAGCGGACCACCTCTTCCTGATACTCCGTTATTGTCCTCTCAACGAGCCCGAAGATTTCCTCTGCAGCCGCTGTTAGCCGCTCGCTGACCAGCAGCCTGAGCTGCTGCATCCCCGACATGACAGAACCACCCGGGGGGAAAAACACAGCCAGCAAACAAGAAGGATGCGGCCGGACTCTCAAACAAAGAAACAATCACTGCAGTCCAAAAGCATAGCCATAATCTAATTAAATGACAGCACCGTGACTTGTTTACCCTCCCGCCCCCCCCGCTCGCCTATAAAAGTAAAATATATCCACAGCGCCCCCTGTAGTTTAGGAGTACTTAAACAGTTTGAAACGAGCTTAATCCATTTCAAAATGTAAAACTTATATGTGATCTATTTTTAGGGGAACATTTTTTTACAGAAATATAACGTGTTTTTAAAAATAAGATAGTAGATACAAAAATATATTTCCATTTATTAACACATTTTCTACATTCATCTTATTTTTGGAGTAACTAGAACTTCAAACATTGACCTGTTTGTTTCTCAAAAGTAAATCTTTCGTCTCCAATACGAAAACAGTCAACCCTGAAATTTAGGAAACTGTGATTTGCAGATCAGTTTTCATCAAAAAATTATACTCCTTTGTTCTTTTTAAAAACATTTAAATGGTTTAGTTCACTGTTGATCAGACAAAATAAAAAATTGCACCAAAAGTTTCTTTTTTTCTAATTTTTGTGATGCCAAGAGTTTTCAAAGTTTGGACACCTCAAGACATCCGTGATATCTTGCTTGTGTCAATTTCTGTCTTGCTTATACAAATCTTATACAAATCCCTTAGGTTAATTTAAACGGAACTGGTCTTAACAGTGATACGACTGTTGACGCAGAAATAGGTACTTTTGACCACATGCCATGTCCTTCTGAAAAACGAAATCACCTTCACCTTTTTGGTAAAGCTTACAGTAGATGGAAGCATGAAGCCATAGCAAACAGAATTAGCAGGAATTATGGTTGAAATATATCAGGGGGTGTGTAGTGAATCTATATACAGTAAGAGTTTTCATTATTAAGTTACATTTCTGACATAAACATTTGTTAATTTCCAGTTTATTCAGATGCACCATCCATGAATCACAGTAGTATAATTTAATTTTGCATATTATATAAATCTGAAGACCGATACTGCAAAAGTAACCCATAACTTTAAAACATCCCCCGAATGTTAGTATTATATTACTGCAAAAGCTAGTTGTAACCTTGAGACAACGGCCACTAAATGTCAGTGTAAAGTTACTGGAAAAGTTAGTTGTAACTTTTAGCTGACACTCTCGAAATGTTAGCGAAGGCTTACTGCAAAAGTTAGTTGTAACTTTTAGCCTAAATTCATGAAACTTTACCAAAACATTCCTGGAAAAGCTGTAGCATTTAGCCAGCAATCCCAAATGTTAGTGAATAGTTACTGCTAAAGTTAGCTGTATTTCTTAGCCTGAATTTCCAAAACATTAGCAAAAGGATGCTCAGGGCGAAAGTCAGTCCGGCATATTTTAGTTCTCTAAACTTATAATTTTCCAAAGTGCTTAAGGTAACTTTACCTGAAAAAAGTGATTGCATTTAAGAGCTCAGTACAATCAGACATAAACAAACACAGTTCAGGGGCCAAATAAACAATCCCAAAAAAGACTCAATACGTGCTAAATCTCACACAGTGTTTCTTTATTGAGAGATACGTCACAATAAGCAGGGGAAAAACTACTCAAATCAAACTTGAAGAGTTAAACAGGTGTTTTATGGGTTAAAAAAAGTTTCATGTGATTCCAAAAGACCTCTATTACAATAATAATAACACAAATAATAATATATAAAAATAATAAATAGTCTGCATCTTTAGCATCTGTATCTGATCAGAAGAAAGCTTCCATAATACAACGTGATTCCAAGGCTTTTCTGTGCAAACTCAGGTTTGTAGTGTACGTTGTTTTTTTGCTTTTTTTAACCGCCCAGAATTCAGTTAGTAGACCTCTAATGTCCACTAACGTCCATCGTGACTGAGGATCGCCTGGAGCATGTTTTAAGGTGATACGAGTGCGCCACCATTTTGCCACACGAGCTGCAGAAGTACGGCTTCTCGCCCGTGTGCTTCCTCATGTGAACCCTGAGGTTGGAGGTCTGGGTGAAGAACTTCCCGCAGAAGGGGCACCTGTGCGGCTTCTCGCCCGTGTGGACCCTCAGATGCAAAGTCAAGCTGTCTTTCCGGGCGAACTCCTTGTGACACTCGAAGCATTTGAAGGCCTTCTGCCCCGCGTGGGACTCGTCCACGTGCCTGATCAGGTCGCAGTCCCTGATGAAGGACACGCCGCAGAGACGGCAGGACTTGCTGTCCAGGACGTGTTCTGGCTGCACGAGGGAAACGTGGCCGCGACTTGGACCAGAATGCAACGAGCTCCCGCCAAAATTTCCAATCCATTTTCCCTCGTCGCTGCTGTTCAGAGTCACGGTTATGGAGCTGACGCTTGGTAACAGCTGGGAGTCGACGTGAGGGGTCATCTCCGATTCGAAAGGAGAAACTTTTACGTCGTCAGAAGAATCGGTATCCACGTCTGGGATGATGCAGACATCCAGCTGCTCCTCTTTAACCTGCCGATGGTCTTCACATTCCTTTTGTTCCTCTGCTGGAGGCTGGCTTTGGTTTTCTGACACTGACTCGACATCTAGGAGACAGACAACATGCAAAGGAGGGACTACATCTACCAGTTCACAAAGTAAAACACATTATTAGACACAGACATAAGCTTTAAAGCCATTGTTTGTGTTAATTGTGATGATTTTCCACTTACAGCTAGGGGTTAGCTTTTACTGTATCGTTTATCAGTTATTGTTAAAAAAAAACAATCGTATCGTGATGCTAATCTTGATTGTCTCAATAAGTTTCAGTTAATGTTAAAAACGCCTTTACTAAACTGTTCCTTTAACTATTTTCTCCACTGCTTTGTCCACAAGAACAATAATAAATATCTGCAAATTCATAAATATGAAGAAGCTTATTTTTATAGGAATGTTTTTCAAGAACAGTGTTTGTGGCGCTATGAATGCTGCTCCTCGCAATCACAGGCGTACAGTTACCTTAGAAAGCCGTGATAAATGGTTTTCATTATTTTATTTGTTATTACAATAGTACCGCAAAATGTTGTGATAAAATTCTAAGTCCATGTCACGCAGCCCTTCTCACAGTAATGACAAGATGACATTTTAGATTTGAATGTTACATTGAACTAATAATAAAAAAAAATATTGTAATATAGAAATATGAGCCTAATGAAAAATATGCCTAACACCAACTTAATGGTGATCTATAATGCTTCCTTGGACAGGTTAGAATAGGTCTACAGGCTATACAAAACATGTTTATCACATTTTTTGCAAATCTGGTCAGTTCTGCCTTTTTTGAGCTCCTTTCAGAATGAGCTGTTTTAGGGACTCTTGTCACTTTAAAGTCAAACAATCAGCTGCTGTTGGCCAAGCCTCCCAATTTAACATTTACACTGGGATGTGAATGTGGCTGCAAACAGATGCACAATTATACAGCAGTACATTTTTGAAAAGCAGAAGTGGAGCCTCCTGCACGTCCAACAAGAATGCACCAAATGGTTTCTAGATGATAAGTCAACAGCAAAACAATTTCCAGCAGCCATTGAAAAGAACATAAAACTAGCTGACCTAGTGTGCTGGAGCTCCGTTTGGGTTGCTAGGTAACTGCTAGGTTGCTAGCAGCTAGCAAATAATATAAATAATAATAATAATGCAAAGTAGCTAGCAGTGAAACTCAACAATCAGGAGGATTTTGAAACAGTTAGTTTTCCACACACCAAAAAAGTTTATTGCTAAAAAAGGGAAATAAAATAGCTGGGTGATTTTTAAGCTCTTGGGCTATTTGTAGAAGCAGTAGAGACCCAGATGGAAGTATAAAAACGAAACCAGCAAAATGTGAATTTTACAGAGTAGGTCCCCTTTAAAGCTTGTCATTTTCAAGGTAGATAGATAGCCAGATAGATGACCTGCAAGTGTAAAAGTTCAGTAAACGTTCTACATGCTTCTTGAGACAGTTTAACTGTGTTTAGCTACGTTTTACAGCACATTTTCTTAAACTAAATTACTGCGGATGTTGCTCATATGGCAGCAAAGTCGTTGTTTCTTCATCTTCTTTTTTTCTCGGTTACTTAGCAACAGCTCGAAGGTTGCTTCGACGGCGTCGCTACCAACCTCCTTTGAACAATGACACTCGGGGCTGTAAGACGGTCAGCTGCTCGATCTGCTGCCTCAGCTGGATGATTTCTCTCTTGGAGCGGACCACCTCTTCCTGATACTCCGTTATTGTCCTCTCAACGAGCCCAAAGATTTCCTCTGCAGCCGCTGTTAGCCGCTCGCTGACCAGCAGCCTGAGCTGCTGCATCCCCGACATGACAGAACCACCCGGGGGGAAAAACACAGCCAGCAAACAAGAAGGATGCGGCAGGGAGAGAAAATGAAAAATAAACGAGTCCCTTTGAACAGAAAATGAGTTCCACGTCTAATCGAATCAAAGTAATTTAATTAATCTTTTGTCTTTTGTCACTGGCTTATAAAAAACATTTTAAAAATGTAGTTCTGTAGCGCCCCTTGTTGCCCAGGAGGACTATGAAGGCTTTCTGTGATGCCGTTTGGTTTTTATACAATTAGAAATAGTCTTTTGAATTCCTTAAGACAGGGGTTACCAAAATCGGTCCTCTAGGTCCGGCATCCGGCATGTTTTAGTTCTCTCCCTGGTGGTAGTAACAACCTTTTCAGCATGTCAGTGTTCTTCTTCGGGTATGGAAGTCACTTAGAAGAAAAAAAAATGGCGGATGCTTTTTGTGAATTTTTCTTCTCTCTCCTATTAACAGAATTAAAGCTGAAATACATACAAATAAATTCGAAATTCTGTTGAGTATTTATGGAATATATTGGAAAAAACACATTGAGAGAACACACTGCTGTGTTTTCTTCCTACACGTGTTTAGTGAATGTCACAAATATCAAGTGCATGTCAGGATCTTTTGTAAAGAAAAGTACTTTGTTATTCTAAATAATGCTTCAAGAGGATAAGGCATGCCTTTAACAGGTCTATGTTGGTGCCATTTTGTTTTTTTGTTTTGCTTTTCTCCAATTGTCACCAGCACTTTGCCGTACTCTTCGTCAGCCGTTTCACTTGCTTGCTCTCGTGGCCGGCTGGTTAAGACATTTATCTTTGCATACAGGGTGAAATGTTCCCTGTTTTGAGTTGCTTATCCAGTGCAACTGGGATGCAAATGATTCGGGCTTGGTGTAGGCCACTCAGCAGCTGTGAGGACATATATGACAAGCCCTGTTAGGGGCTGCTTTTTGTCGATGCCTCTTTGCTTCTCAGACATGAAGAAAATTTAATTTACGGCATTAAAATTTTCCTTTGTTTAAATCAGAGGCAGCTGGCAGTGAATATTTTTTCCATTTATAGACCACCTTCTAAACAAACAACAAAAAAGAGCATTGGTTTTGTAGGGTAAACATTTTCTGAGTTTACTGCCTTTCACTGTATTCATTTGCATATCTGCATATTTCCTTAAGTGCAGTCACTTGTATTTTAGATACTTATGTTGTCATTTGTTATCTCTTAGTACATGAGTTAAACAGGGAGGCAATTCTGAACCATTTAATTTTCAGTAACAAACAATGACTCTTAAATACACATTCAAAATGCCATAATAAAACACAACTGCAGAAGTGTGCATGCCTTTAAGGTCAGGAGGAGTCCAAAGTGTGGCTCAGGGGGGCGTTTGTGGCCCTTGAAAAGCTTTCTTTATGGTCCCTACAAGTCAAGAATGGAAAAAAAAATTGACAGTAAAATAGAAAACAATTGATCACCTGACCCCCCAAAATTTGGGAGTTGTCTGTTTTTCCTTGAAGCACAATGCAAAGTTCTTTTTATGTTTCAGATCTTTAATTACCTACAAATGAAAAAGTGTTATTTATTTCTAAGAAGGTATAGCTAACGATAATTGTATAAACTCAATAAACTTATTTTTGCGGAAATGAACTTGTGGCTCGCCAGGAGTTAAAATTTGCCAGTTTTGGCACCCGGTGCAAAAAGTTTGGACGCTGCTGTTAAATGAAAAGAAATGACAGACTTGTATAACGCTTCATTAGGACACTCAGACGCTTTGCATGAGTTCAGTCATTTCATTCACATTTTACATTTAAGGCAGAGCTTTAGGGTTATGGAGAATATTTTTGGCATCACATATCTTGATGTGGCAATATAGGTCTTCTCTACCAAGCAAACATTCTCAAGATCTATCAGGTTGTGAGTTCATCTTTAGCCCACAGGGATTTTCAGATGAACTTTTTTGATTTTGTTTGAGGAACTCAGTTCTTCTCTCTGGCTTAAACATTCCCAAACTTTAAGTTTCCTCTAAAAAATAAAAAACTCACCTCCAAATAATTTAAAAAGATTAGAAACATTATTCAGTTGTTTTGGATGTGTACTTAACTTCACAAAAATAAAATAAAATGCCTTTTACTTCATGTTTCCAACAGGCATTTTGCAACTGTACAACATTTTCATGTTCTCATCTCGACAAATACTTCCATATAAAAAACAAATCATGATGCCATTCAGTGTTTTTTTTTGTTTGTTTTTTTTTTTGTTTTTTTTGTTTTGTGTCAAACATACCTTGTAAAGGTGGGGCCAAATTTCAAATTTGCTCATGTGTCATCAGATTTTCAGAGAATAATAAATGACTTCTGTTTTACAGAACAGATTCAGCACTTGGCAGAAACCAGAACACTTTCTTCAGAGTTACCATCAATCACCTCGACAAGCGTCTGTTAATCCCTTATGGAACTTATAAATAAGCAGATGTGAGGAAGACAGCTGAACTTTACTTCTGGTTCTGATATTGGGTACGTAAGCAAAGAGACTCGAAGCTAAAACCCATCAGACCTACGCAGTCTATTGCCCTTTTGTATCCCGTCTATTTTTCAGTGTCCCATTAAAAAGTTATTCAACGTCATATTTAAAGTTTATTCATCGGTAAAGTTGACCGATTAATAAGAAGCAAATTTTTTTTCCTCATGTATTTTCAGGAATGTTCCATGTTGTGATTTCTATAATTACACCGTTGGAAAGCAGCTCCAAAGAACCACCATGACAAATAATCCGACAGCTAAACCAATTGGAGATGATCCAACTCTTTGTAGACCTGTTGGTTAACGGTGAAGTTTAAGCCCCGCCCCTTGCCCCGCCCCCAAGGAAGAAACGTAAACGTTTGCACAAATTGGAAACTGTGACTTCTCAATATGCCTTTATTTAGACAGCGTCATACAGCAGGCTCACTGATCCTGCAGGTTACAATAAATTATTAGAAAATGACCTGTACAACCACACAACACATTAGAAAGAGATTGGCCTACTTCTACTAGGACATTTTGTAAATAAATGGGATGGAGCGTTTCACACAACAGCCGTTTTAGTTTCTCGCACTTTTAGAAAGTTGTTCCAACTGGGAGGGAAAAAAAAAAAATTTGCAATCAGACATTGAAATAGTTGGGATTTCTTCTGTACTGGAACAGAACATTTTTATTCATACTTTTCTGTAAACAGCCTCAACAAACATTGAATGATGAAGAGAAAATGAACAGCATGCTAGACCAAACCAGAAACTGGAGAAGGGGGGAAAGGTTACGTTTACGAGCTGCCACGCAACTCATTCATAAAATGTACAAAATAAATCCCCTGAGGCCACGCCCACCAGTATCTACATCTAAAAAAAAAAAAAATAAAATATAGGGTAGCACACATATCAACTGGAAGCTTTCAAAATAAGATGTGGATTTTCGTACTTGAACACAGCTGGGAATAAATTCTGGCGGCAGTAGGAGCCGGGCTGCGTTTAAACCGGTTACAATCAGAAAGAGAGAGACATTCAGTTCTTCGGTTACATTTTTCCATTTTAAATGGGTTTGTAGAGCAAATAATGGAACAGTCTGGAGTTAAAAAAAAAAAGTTAACATTTCCCAGAGTTCACTTTCCATTACTTTGTGGAGGATTCATGGGATCATAAGGAGATCAACAAATACAGAACAGAAGCTTTCTGAGAGCACGTACCAAACCGGGAGTCTCGAAAGTGGGGTTAAAGTGCAACAGAACAAAGAAGGAACATACGAGTACCCTACAAGGTTGCTATGTGCTGTGCACCATGCTCTGCAGACATGGTTACAACCTAAGCATGGCATGGATACTGGGGTCAAGGTTAAAAAAAAAATAAAAAAAAAACATGCTAAAGTTTCCTGAATACCGTTCGTAACTGTTTGACGTTTTTCTTTTCAATGAGATGGACGAGAAGGTGCAACAGTTGGGTTTGGCTGTGACGGAGCTGCTGCCCCTCTCACACCTGTTGTTGCTCACCGTCAACTGTTTTCTTCTTTTTACTGTATAGAAATACTTTTAGTGATGGTGTAGCAAATAAAGAAGCGTTGATTAACACTTGAAGGTGACTTATTATGTGAACAGGTTAGGATAGGTCTATTAAAAAAAAAGTTTATATTTTTTTGCTTACATTTTTCAGTCTGGTCAGTTCTACCCATTTTCCTTTCAAACTGAGGCGTTTTAGGGCCTCTTGTCACTTTAAATCCAAATGAGCTGCTGCTGGCCACACCCTCCAACTCAATGTTTACGATCACGTGAAAATAACAAAACAAATGTGTAATTATACAACCGTACAGCTTTGAAAAGCATTAGTAGAGCCTCCTGCACAACCAACAAGAATGCAGAAACTGGTGTCTGAATGGAGAGTTAACAACAAAACTCTCGTCTTTTCCAGGAGCCGTTGTACAGCGCACACAGTGGTAAAACCAGCTGACCAACGTGCTGGAGTTCTGCTTGGTTTGCTAGGTGAGGCGCAGTTCCTGCTGATTTGTATCATTACTTTGAGGAAGACTTTAAAACAAGTCATTTTTCCAGACACCAAAAAACATCTGGATGCATTTTTTCCCCTCCCCAAGCACTTGTGCTGTTTTTAGAAGCAGGAGAAACTCAAATGGAAGTACAAAAAGTGCAGAATATGAATTTTGCACAATACGCCTCTTTTAAGACTGACAATCCTACCCAAAAAGATCCATCCAACCAAGATCAGCATTAATTTCAGGAGTCTGTTTTTTACTCAGGTCTTTGTTTAGAAATCAGTGTAACGAGTAATTATTATTGATTCTATTAAACTTGTAATATGCTCCACTATTTTAGCAGCAGTAGGAATATTTTTTGTGTGTTAAAAGCAACTATAACATATTATGCATTTGTTTCTATGTTAAAAGGCTTTGGTTCTGGCAATGTTATACCATGAGAATCTGATTTAGACCCTTGCCTAGTACAACCCACTAAAAAAAACAAAACAAAAAAAACAAACAAACTTGCAAATGACTGATTGCAACTGTCGCCGAGAGTCCCAGCTGAGAAAGCTCGACATAAACAGAGCTATAATTTTTCAATTGTTTATCTTCCTCCCCCATAATTCCTGCAGCAGTCAACTCTGCAAACTGCACAACAGCCGAGGACCCACGAACATGACACTGAACTGAACACACATCTACCACCAGCACCGTACCACCGAGTCACGTAGACCATATCAACACGTTGAGGCAGTAGCAATGGTCATTGTTCATAAACTTAAAAAAAAAAAAAAAACAGAGGAAAGTATAGCAAACACCATCAATGCACATTTACACATCATGTAGAGATCTGATCTGACCTCTCGGCACACTCGCATACCACACCGCGCGCGCTTCCTGTTTGTGTCCGAAATAAACGAGTGCCTGCCAGCGAAGAACAAGGACTGAACTCAGGAAGACCCGGTTCAAAGAGGCGCTGTGCCTCAGAGCAGACCTCGCTCACACAACAGCAACGTTATTTATTGCTACAGTAGGGGCAGAATGAACAGTTAGTGCATACATTGAGATTTTGATGGATGCGGCATGAGGAGAAAAAGAAAATGTCTAAAAAGCGATATGGTGGATGAAGTTCTAGGCAGTGAAGTCAGCACGCAGGTTAGGGCACAGATGGCATGGCTTACTCCAGATTCAGAGCAGCAACAACAGAAAGACTTTTGAACTCTTTGTGAACAATGTGGAGTATACTAGATGGTGTCAGAGGTCAAATTTGTGGCAAATTTCTTTCTACAAAATTTTCCTAAAAATATCCTTCACAAGAAAAAAACAAAACAATGACATTGTATCTAGTTTTGTTTGAATTTTAGGCCTAGTTTACACGTAGCCGGATATCAAGGAAAACAACATTTTTTTATTCATTTTGGCCTTTCTCCTTCACAAAAACTGTTTAATATCACCAAAGACACGCATTTATACAAACTCGGACCAAAGTCTACGTTTAAAAAAACTTCATATTTGTCTGTGAAACTGAGATTTAGAGTCCAGATTATTCATGAGCCAACATATCCACATGCTCGCTTTCAAATGATTCCCAATCAACATCGTCTTGTGTTTTAACTTCATATTCTAATATGATTTAAAAGTAGTTCAACCTGCACACCTCTCCACAAAAATGAACCTCCTGGTGCCATGTTTAATCCCCAACAGGAAGTTGTGGTTGTTTTCAAGCAATCTGATTGGCCGACATGGGTTTCAGCTTAGCACTACACCGCCCCCTGTGGGTCTGGCATGTTTAAAACAACACTCAGAGGCGTATTTATGCAAGTTAATGTGGATGAAAACTTTTCAGAAACAGATTTCATGTGTACAAGATTGTTTTTAAACAATGTGACAGAGATATTTGTTTTTATAAAGACCTGGCCTCGTGTGTATAAGGCCTCAGAGAGGTTCAGTCTAGATTAATGTCGCCAATCAGTGACAATTTTTCTTTTAAACTATCAGTTTTGGTCTATCCACAGCAAAAAATGGGCTTTGTGACTGGTTATTTAAAGTTACTATTATCTTTTTCATGACTTTAGAGCAAGATTATGAAAAAACAAAAAACATTTCAGCTGGTTCATGCAGATCAGATTTCATTATAACAAGAACGCCCCTTGATGTCTTTACAAAGCTGGAGGTATCCAACAGCCTCAACTTCAATAACCAAATAAATATAGTAAACATCGCAGCAATAAAGTAATACTCAGTAAACTTAATTGGTCACTCAGTAACATGACGGTTGACAAAATATGCTATATTTTAATCAGCGTATCCCAACCTTTCAACCCACAGCCTTTGCTTTCTCTGTGAAATTTTAGTACATTTCATCTTATGGAGCTTCAGCAGGAACTTAACCCTGTAACAATGTTAATACTGGAAGAGGAGCAGTAGCAGCACCAACAGCAAGTACGACTTTTAGCAGTTTTACTACAACAATTAGTGCAGAATTGTCATAACCGAGGAAAAAAAGGGATCTTCTGCACGTAGCGGAACAGTCATAATGACAGACTGGTGCATCGCATTGCTACTAGCAAGACTTCAGAAGGAGCTCCTGTTGACATTAAAGCTCTGCCTCGCTATGAGCTGGTGTGGAATGATTCAGAAAACACAAATAAATACACACACACGTTCCTGAACTGTGACATCGACAGCCACACTGCAAAATCAACTGAAGTATTAAACGTTTTAAATTAATTATGTACATCGCTATGTCGTCTGCACGACCATGGAAACATGCACATCGTACATTCAAAGTACCGCCAACGACGTGGTCCTGCTTTCAGGTTTGAAGGATTTCCCGAAGTTAAGCCAATTACACAAAATAAGTCATTTCAACATGATTTTCTGCTTTCCATCTGCAGGAGTCGCTAAAAATCTGCCTGCGAACGCAGCACACAGCAATGTGGGACGTCTCGATATAATCCTGGTTTTTAGGTATTTAGGTCGGGGAGGCTGCAGCACATCATCACGTAAACTAGGATAGACCTCATGGAGAGCACAAGAGTTGAAAGTGCAATGGCGGAAAGTAACAAATAGGCCAGAAAGTTTTAGGTCTGCAGTAATAAGACTTTAAATTTGAACTGAATTGACATCTCTGAGCTTTGAAAAAAACTGAATATAAACACACAGGGGGGAAAAAACAGTGATATTTCTACTGACATCAGCTTTATCTGGAGTAAAACTCATCGTACAGCAGTTACTGGTAAATTTGCTTGACTCTTGAACAATATGAGCAGATTTATTTTTTTTCATCTGAAGAATAATTTCTATTAAAGCATCCTTGAAAGCAGAGATCATAATCAAAACAAACAGTAATTTTCCAATCTTGAACTCAAAGTTTCCTCCCAAACAATCCATTTTAGAGGTTTGCTTTTACTTATGAAGGTTTTAGAGCTTAAATTAAATGACTGGATATAAAGTTAAAAAGAAAGAAATGAGCAGAAACGCATTATATCCTCACAACTGAAGAAAAAAAAGCTGAAAAATCCTAAACAGTCCTCTCTAGAGAGCTATTTTACCCCCAACATGGAATGCTGCTGCAGCGCTGGATGACGGCTTACCGGTGACGACGTAATGCGCTAGTGTGTGTGTGCGGTCATTTGTGATCAAGTCTTTGCTTCACACACAAAACAGATCTCCTGCGAGTGGGAAGAGCAGGGAGCGTTAACCGAGCTTGGTGATCTGTAGGTCTCCGTGTATCCGTACTGTGTCGATTGAGGGCAAGGATTTCACTTTGTGATAAAAGTCAAAGAGCTGGTGTCCGTCCACGAATATCCGGAAACGCTGGTGCTCACAGTGGATCTCAATCTGCAGGAAGGGAAGGAGAGAAAGGAAGCAGATAAAGTAAAGGGAAGCAGGGGCAGAAGACCTCAAAACAAAAATGCAAGTTTTAATTTAGCAAATTACATTTTCAGCCTAGAGAAAAATAACTGAAAAGATTTCGACTCAAAAAGCAGGTTGCAATAAAATTAACTTGGGACAAAATTTATTCGTTTCATTAACTTTTTTCCTCACCCCCATTTTCAATAGCTTTTTCAGTTTATCCCTGAACCATTTCCAATTTGTCATGTAGGAACCATAAAATTCACAGCACGAAAAAAAAAAACTATTACATTTTATCAAGTATTTTTTGTTCCATTTTCTAGTGATTTATTGTTATTTAGTCAAATTTTTCATTTCATGTTATAAATAGGTCAAGTATTTTGAACCCACTATTGCTTCCCCCTAGTCCACTTGTTCAGTTTGACCCGAAGCATGATGCCTCACGATCACAGCAAGTTCAACTTTTGACCAAATACAGTAATAAACACATAAACCACACTAGTAGACCTCCACCCACTCCTTAGACCGGAGGAAGCTTCCCCTGCCAATAACAGGCCTGTTTCCATAAAGACATCAGCAGGACAAAAAAAAGCCTTTTCACTGTAAAAACCACAGACCATCATGTGTCTGTCCACATGCCTCCACTTTGTTTCAAACAAACAGCTGTAATCTCCAGGCTCCAGCTCCTGACCGCGCACCCACCACAAGCAACGATGGCCTTATCACAGAGACGGCAGCGAGAAGCAAAAAGGACGCCTAAAAATATTCTGCAAACACAACGCATGAGAATATTAACATGGACTTTAAACTCAAACTATTTCTTGCTGATTATGATTCATAATTTATTAGAGCGGAATGTGAATGAGCATCCGGGCCCTGATGTCTAGCAGTGATGAGTCACAGCTGTTCTACCTGAAGCGTCCCTCACCCCCAGCACCGACTTCATTCTATACGTGAGCAGCTGATGCTGTTTTGTAAACACACCACTGCACTCATGCAGGCTGTGTTAACATTAGACACACGTGATGGCGCACAGGGTTTCTGCCGTTTGTTTCGGTTTTAATGCTGCAAGGACTGATGGTCTCATGCATTAAAGAGTAAAGATGCACAGATCAAAGATCTTCCAGACTATTTTTGATCACTGATTTTGACAGGAAATCAACAGATATGACCAATTTTATCCGATACAACTGAATGTTTCTACCGTTTTTAGCCAACATAAGTCTCCGTTTACTCAAATGTAGAGTCAGGAGGAGACCGTGGTCTTAACTGTGAGATTTCCAAAACACCGCCAACATTTCTTTATCTAGTTTGTTGACTAATACAACGGGATTCCTCAAAAAATAGATGAAACCTAGCAACTTCACTGTAGTAGATTCTACTTCCTGTTACCTGCTGTTGCCTGAAGGGCTTGACAGGATGGTGACGTCAACCCGTCTCCGTTCCTTTCTTACTTAATTTGCATGATAACAGGCGCTTCCACTCCTCCAGCTGAGCAATCGGTTCAGTTGTTTTCAAATATAAAATCCATCTTTCCTTCAGGAAGCGTTCAACAGCCTTCATGTTTCCTCATGTTTTTAAACACTTCACTGATACACAAAAAGTCTTCTTTCCACTTCCACACTGAAGAGTGTTGTTTGAACTACCTGCTAATGTTTATGTGCGATTTGTTCAATGATTTGAAAAAAGATAAGATTTTTTTTTTTTTAAATAAAAGTCAGGGCATGTCAAACGTAAATTGTTTAATTTCAGTCTTTAGGAGTCTAAAAAGGAACAATTGTCATTTTGTGTTGTCTGCACATAATCTCCCTAAATTCTGTCTTGGTCTTTGGTTCTGGTGTTCGATCCCCTGACCTCCAAGTTTGGGAAACACCTGGCAGATCTCTGGGACTACCTCTTCTTATGCTGAGATACTAACAGCAAAGGGAAGTTCTTACCCTAAAAGGCTGGTCAGGGATGAAAGGGAAGTAGGAAGTGGAAGCTTCCTCATCTGTCCATTTCCCTGAGACGCGGGCGCTCCGCATAAACTGCCGGTTGCTGAAGCTAGCAGTGAGTTTCAGGGCCACGTCGAATGGCAGGTCATCCTTTTCCAAATCCCGTCCGCAGGTCAGGCTGACGTCGAAGCTGAGGAGACAATAAAACATGTTGGAGTCGGACAGCAGATCCAAAACTGGACTATTACGTCGGTACCTCTGCTAATTTAGTTTTTAATCTTCCTAGGTTCTCCAACGTCTTCCCTTACGCTCCCCATTTAAGGAAATGGCTCGTGGTGTCACATCATATTTATTCCCCGTGAAAACATCTAAACAATTACTTAACATGTGTTTCTCACACTGAATGCAACTAGAGCACTTAAATAAAAGATACATTTATCTCTAGGCTTTTTACTCATCTTCACCATTGGGGGCAATAAACGTGTCCACATCTGTAGCTAATCTGGGATGAGACATATGAATAATTCTGCTGTTGCTGTCTAAGAGCAAATCATGTGTGTGTGTGCGTGTGTTAATTATGCATAATCCCTCTTGCTACAGTTTCTGTTTATCCTCCCTCCCCTGCGGCTGTGCAGCTCATACATACTCAAGCATCTCATCCTTGCTGTAAACTTTCCAAGACACAACAGAAAATAACAAAAGAAGAAGAAAAAAGCAAAACAAAGACAGCTTGTTGGAGTAGCTGTTATTTTTCACATGAACTTTGGACTCTGAATTCTCTGCCAGCAGCAGGAAAGATGAGGTCATGGGGAGGATTTTTTCCTCCCCTTCAAATTCAACACAAGTCTCCATGAAGGGTGAAAGACACACCCAAACAAAATCTGCCTCACTGGGGATTGTTATTCCTCATATTTTCCCCTACAGCCCCAACCCCCTGGCCCCCCCTTTTCTGTTCTTCCTGGTGGTGAGGAAACGCCCTGTCTCTGCTTATTTAAAGCTCCACTGCCCTCACGAAGAGGACGTACAAGTTTGACAAAGTGGAAAAAAACAACAAAAAAGGATTTTATCTTAGATATCAATCAGTGCGCACAGACTTGTATTCAGAGTATTATAGATATGCAGAAGTAGGACTGAGCCTGCCGCTTCGTGAGGCCTTATCTCACCTGTGTGGCTCCAGATCGACGATACCCATCACTATGATCTTCTTCCCCGGTCGCATTCCGCCGCGGATGCGCCCGCTGAAAGGCACCGTCTGCGCACAACACCCCCACCCCACCATCACACCCACCCAAACAAATAAATCAAACACCGGGATATGATGATACACTCTTCAAAGCTTGACTCAAACAATGGTACTGGGGGCGTGTGGAGGTGGGGGGGAAGGGGGGGGGGAGATATTTCTTACCAAAAGACGGGATAAATCCTCCTTGTCGGGTGAGATCAGAGCGGGGTTCTCCAATGAGTCGTTCAGCGTGTGATCCCCGTCCATGTTCTTGAAAAGACACCAGAGGACAAATCAGGAGCCGATAAGCAAACAAGGACCCGGGTCAGAGACCCACCGTGAGGCTGCGGGCCTGTGTGATCAATAATTGATAATTGTTGTGGCCTCGCTTCGCGGTTCGCAACAATGACGATCTGGCAGGTTTAGAGAGCTGATTGCGTGTTGAGCACCGTGCGGCGTAGGGTGAAGGCATGCCACCACAACCGGGCTGGATCTCCTCGTTTCCTCCCCCTAGCCCCACGCATGGGATGATAGTTGGATGAAAGAGGAGTCCTCCCCTCCCCACCCACCCTCCTCTGGTTTTTGCGCTCTGGTCCACGTTTACAGCACTTCCACGTCCAGATAACGATGCGCATTACCAAGCAATCCCCACCGAATGCACAAATGAACGCAATCCCTCCTCCTTCACCCCCCATTCCTTCCACCCATTGCTTCTAAAGCTGATGTGGCTTTGGGAATACTCACTATTCCGTCCTTTTCTGCTGCCTGCACCGCCATCTTGAGCCGAAAAGCACAGGATGCGAGCTTGGGGAGAGAGGGAGAGGGGGAGAGACGGAGGGAGGGAGCGGAGCGTGGCGTGTCTACGTCGTGGGACTTGCCTCGGGAGGATTTCCCAGTTCCTGCGTCCCCCGACGTCGGTCGGCTCCAGGCCTCACCTCACACACACACACACACACACACACACACACACACACACACAGGGAGAGAGAGAAAGAGCACCTAACAGGACATCTGCACTCCCCGCCTCCGCTTTACTGTCGGCCCCTGAAATGGGTGGATAAATGTGCTGACGAATGCTTTATAATAATTAGAGACCAGCAGCTTTAATCCCCGTCTGTTGGAGAGGGCTAATCATCGGACAGATCTTCCCCGAGCCTTCAGCCGATTAGGCGGACGCGCTCTTTGGGTTTGTTTTCGGTGTTGTCAGCAGGCTGGAGGTGGTTGGAATAAATGAGCGTCAGGCGAAGTCCGAATGTGACACAAAGTGGGGAGTTTCCCCCCCGTTTTTAAGTAAATGTTTAGACGCCAAAGCATGCATCAGAGGGCAACGAGGTGCACAAAATATAACCAGAAATGCGCAAATGCATATGCACACATAAAAAAAATCTTTCCGTTAAATAAAGTGAAAGATTCATTGACTTCTTTAGCCCTCTCCGGTTTGACCAATAAAACACGTTTCTCTCCCTTGACTGCTTTGGGTTAATTGAGCCATCCTGCCCCCGTGTGGACGTTACAACAATACAACAATACAAATTAAAATGTAAAAATACTTCATTGATCCCAAATGTAATTTTTTTTTTCTAATTTTAATCATTCAAGACTATTTCAAGAGTTTTTGCAGATGACAATGGCAGGATTTCCTGTAGTCGTCTATTTCACAGCAACATTTTAAGAAGCCTCTGACTGAAGACAGGTTTTTCTGAGTCTCATGAAGAGGATGCTCAGGGTTATCCATAATTTTCTTGATTCTTTATAAAAAAAAAATAAGAAGAAGAAATTATGCCCCAATTAATGTATTAAAAATCCAAAGACTATCACACAATTGACAACTAAAATGTTAATTTTAATTTAAAAATTGGAGCATACTGAAGAGTCAAGTTGGTGGTTAATATCAGTCCAGCTACTTCTACAATTAACCTATACTAACTTCAGAGAAACAGAACAATTAATTGTTGTAAAATTTTAATTTTGTTTCATTTTCATTTTGTCCACAGCCATCATTATCTACCGTAGCACTTTAATTAAATTAGTTACAACAACATTTAATTTCCCTTCGGCATACACAAAGTATTTTTGAGTTTAATTGAATTGATATGCACAACGTTAATGATGAGAGCAGTTAAAACATATGTGTATTATGTAAAAACGTGTAAAGAAAACATAAAGCTGATCCCACTACATACCTCGGTTGCAAGACAGCAGGAGCAAAGAGGGCGGAGGGGTAAGCTGACTGTTACTGGTTGCTATGGCAACCACAGCCCGTCAAGAGCATAATTTAAGCACCAACTTAAACTGCAATAAATGCCAGGAGAAAATAACTTGTTGACTAAATAAAATATACTGAAAGAATAAATGAACAAATTTTGACAAACTTCACAACTACAATAGCGTTTAAATAATTGTTACAGTACCATTAGGAAAAGACTGAATAAGTAACTTTTTTTTTAATTTTCTGCAAAAATTGTGAAAAACACTGGGTTAAAGTGATGCTGACTTCCACCTGCAGGTGGAAGCACTTCTTACTTTACTACACGGCTGCCTCATCTTTGCTTTCAAGTTATCGTCCGTGATCGAGATGGCGAGTCACATTTACCGTCTTATCGCAATATTTATTGAAATTTTTTGCTAAATTGATAAATTTGATTTAATTTTAAGAAGTACTTTAAGAAGTAGCAGTTATTTATAAATATTTTAACAGTCTTTTAATGGGTTTTATCTATACCTTCTGACATAACCAGCCCTTTGAGACCATTCATGATCCTAATAGGACATGTCAAGCTGTCCTTACTGGCTTTTTGCTTCTGTTAAACACTCAACAAGTGTGTAAATACACAATATTAAATAATATTATTAAATACATAGCACGATGTTCCCACCCACATACAACTTTACAATTTTAAAAAGAACATGCATGAGTATACATATAGGAAGAGGCAAGTGACAGCATTGTGCTGACGGAGGAGTGTGTGCGTCTGAAGAGAAACAAAGTGTAGATATGGCAGCCTTCAAGACTGATAACATGGCTCAGATCTTTTTTTTCTGTCTGTTCTGTGTAGGCCCAGTCCCATAACTGCTGACTCGGCACCTTTTACAGACACTCTGTATAAAAGTTGATAATGTTTTGTTCGTATTTTTCCTCTATGAAGAACCTGGTATCATTACAATGCTTGAGGAACGACATGTGAGCATGTGTACGGTGATGTTTGGAGGGAAGAGGCTATTTGTCTTTTCATGACGTTTCCTCCGTGTGTCGTTCTGATGAATCCAATAGATCCTCATGTTCATTTGAGTCATTAAGAGTTACATATGCTCAGCCAGTATGACAGTTCACACATTTTAAAAAGTTGCCTTTTTGATGTAAACTTTTATTAGTCGTTATAATATTGGAAGAAAAACATAATTTTTTTTTTCCTGAAATAAACACGTTCCAGTCAGCTTTGACTGGTTTCTTTGTCTCTGCTGAAAAACATTGGACCCACAGCCTAATCCTGCCAATACCATGTTTCAGCTTGGAGATGATGTGTTAGTGATAGTTTTAACCCTGACAAAGTATTTCAACATTGGCTAAAAAGCTAAATTTCGGTCTTATCTGAATGAAACAAGCCAATCTTTGTTTTATGACATAACTTTAGCTTATTCCTTACTTGTCTGCTGGTTTTTCCACTAACATCCTCTAACAAACCTTTGAAGCCTTCACAGAACAGCAGGCTTTATTCTCAGATTAAGTTGACTGCACTTTCATTCACACAAATCAGCATAAGGGGAAAATAAAAGCAAATCCATGCCACACTTTTCAGATTTTATTTGTAAAGCATTTTGAAAAACCGTTCATCTGTTCCCTTCGATATCAAAATTATGTCCTACTTTTGTTGCTGTATTGAAAAAAAAATTCTAATAAAATACCTAGGGGAGAGCCACCCTTTGTTGCTAGGAAACAGTAAAAAAAACACTGATCATGTGACCCAATAGTTAGGAGGAAGGCATTATTTAATAAAATTTGTAAAGGTAAGAACCATGGGTTAGGGTTTTATTCCTTAAAATACACCTTCCAAACTTGAAAGTGAATTCAGTAAATCATTAAAAAATGTGTTTAGACCATAATATCTATATTTTAAAATTTGTTCCATGTATCTATTATGCTATATGAGCTATGACATGAGATCAGAAACGAAGATAGAAGTGTAGCATTTTAACTGTGGGAACAAATAAAGTCGAAATAGTAGCTTAGCTGCGGGGTCAGTTTTGCCCGCCACAGCTAACTTTTACCCCACTCTCCCATAGAAGTTTGCCAAAAATGTTCAGGTCACACGGGAAATTTTACTGTCATAGTCTCTTCTACGGCAACTCTGATATGGAAATATGCACTATGTGATCATTTGTGGGTGAAAATAACAAATAACCTTCCTGAATATGTTCCAGTTATTAGAAAGCAGTTGGGAATCCCGCAGCCCATCCGTGCCTCTCCTTGTCGCCCCTTTGTGGCGCTCTCTGCTGCACAGATCCAGTCTCCTGTCCGGTGTTCAGCTCCCTCCCCTCCTCCTCCTCCTCGCTGCGGCTGCCATGGCTGCGGAGGCTTCCGGCCGGAAAGATGCGACCATCACCGGCCCAGCAGACTCCACCGAGATGCGGGAGCAGCTGGTAAGTTGCTTTTGATTTTAAAAAATAGAAAAATTGCACCAAAAAAATGCTTGTGGTGCGCATCGAGGCGCTCCTCCTTCTATAGAGCGGGCCTTGATGCACCGCTGCACAGGGATGGAGTTCAACTCTGCTGGATGCACGCAACCAGAAGCAGCCGTGTCGTGTTTTGGCGTTTTCTCTCAACTAGGAATAATATTTATGAATAGATTTATGCGCAAAGGGAGCAAGGATGCGCCTTATCGCAGGTGGTGTTGAATGGCGTGGGGGGGGAAGAGAGAGACATCAGTGGCTCACATCCTGCGTGACGCGCTGATATGTCAGGGGGAGAAGTGAAAGTAGAGGGGCTGCCCAACGCGCAGCTTATAAATACTTTGTGATTGGCCGACCTCGGAGCAGTCGGTTCTCTTTTACTGGCCACAACTTTCCGCCTTTTAAAGAGTCTACGCAGGAGAGCTGGTTTTCTTCCACCTAGCGATGACGCAAGACCCCAACAACTTGGCAGGAGAGGTAGGAATTCTTCCTGATCACCCCGGCGGGGCGAGCGGTGAATGAGAGCAGACCTGTTGGGTTCACTTAGGTCAGTATCAGAGGGAGGAAGTAGGTTCTCACAGTGCAGAGAACCAGTCCAGTGTTCCCATTAATTACAACCCGTCTTCTGATTGGAGCAAAGACATCTGGATTCGGATCAAAATCTGAAATTAGGAGCTAAAAAATCATCTTCATCATTATTATTTTTATTATTATTTTCAAAGTGGTGCTTTGGAAGGCACCTGCTGAACGATGAAGAGCAAAATGTGTTCTTGTATTTGATACTTTGTAAGGACCGTTCACCTGACAAACACTAAGATGTGGGGACCTATTGGTCCTTATGGGACACAAAGCATGGACCCCATAAAATGAAGCATTGTTTTCAAGTTAAGGGTTAGATTTAGCTGTGTGTGTGTTCGTGCATGTGTGTGCTATTCTAACTGGATATTTATTAAAGAAGGAAGCATGCTGGCTCCACCTGCTGGCTCGTGAACTAAAACCTGTCCTTCAACTTAGTTGAGATATTTGTGTCAGCTGACGTTCATATGCTACTAACTGAATGTCTTCAGAGTGAGAACTCAGTCAGGAGTCAGTTGCTCTGACACCTCTGCACCGTTCACTTTCTACCCACGTCTTCTCTGCTGGGTGAGTCTTATTGCTGGAATTCTCCATCAAATCTTCATCAGCAATGCAATGTCAACATTTCTTATGCAGTTTAAATTTTACATATGTATGCAAAAGTAGGGTTCCTCTTAAGCAGAGCAGAGGTGTATTAAGGATGAAATATTTAGGCTACAGTGGCAAGGGTTAGACCGCGCAAATGCTCCAGATTATGCATTGCAATCCCTCTAATCTCCCTGCTGGAAAATGAGAGATTCTGGATTAAAGGAGGAAGTTAGTTGGGGGGAAACAGCAAAAGAAATGCTGTGATTACAGTTTGCTGGGTTCCTGGTTGTTTTTGGAACCACATAATTTGTGTCCTGATGGCTGGAAGGCGGTGATCCGAGCATATCGCGAGGAATGTCCGAGTACGATCCAGTAGGTGCTTTGCGACATGATGCTTGTCTGCTGCTTTTGAGGTTGAGGGGCAACATAGTTTGGGTTCCTGCTTACAAATTCTGAAAGAATGGACCTAGATCTCACCCTAAGTGTTTTGGTGACCACCTCCTGAAGTAGAGAGGTTTGTTTTTTTCCAGCAGATTGCATCAGGGTGCTTTGAACAGAACAGCTTCTGTAGGAATGAAACTCAAACAAGCTGTTTGAGTGTCTTGCACCGCTTGAATCCATATTTATTTTGTCCTTTAAGGAGTGAAAGTTCATATGTTTAAAGCCCATTATTTCAGACAAAGATTTGTCTGAGAGTACAAATAAAACTTTGAAAATATTGAGTGGGGAAAAATAATGTCATTAACAGTTAATAAACTGCAAATTTTAATACAAGTTTATTCTGTGAATACACTTGTGTAAAGGTTAGACATGCCTATGAAGCAAAACAAATACTGCACCAAAAACAAGACATTGGTTGATGCATTTATAGAATGAAAACTCTGGGACGTATTAATTTTGTCGAATTTAACGATCAGGAAGAAAAACAACAATATATTTCTGTATTGGTCCTGCTGATCCAATCAAAGCAAATCAAGGGGAAATTGTCTAATTGTTCATCAGCTCCGAAAAATAAAAATAAAACTTTCAAACTAACTTTCACATAAAAAAATGAAATATGTTTTTCTAAGCGATCAAAATGTTCCACTAGGTTTTGCATTCATAGAAAGGCCATTGGGGACATCATGTTCTGGATCACAGATGGGAATGTTTTCACAATAAACATTACATGAAGTCAATGACACATTCTTTTGTCTTGAATTTAAGCAGAAAATAAAAAAAATTATTTCTTAAGTGAAAGTCAAGGGAGACATAAAACAAAGGAAAACGTCCCAGTTATATCAATGAATCTTTGTCATGAGGGCTTTGTACCTTTGTAAAACTAAAGTCTGTGTAGAATGAGTGACACAATATTAGTGTTAATGAGCATTAGGCATTGAAATGATTAATAAATCTCTGAGAAAAGAAAAGGTTCCAGAAACAGATGGCTTGTTGACCTTCAGACACCTGATTTACCAGACTGAGGAAACTGAAGAACGGAAAGTTACAAATTACAGCATTCATTTTGTCCCATCCAGACCAATTCACCACATACGGGCAAGTTTATTCCTTTAGACACAACTCAGATCTGAGCATTCCTGTCTCTATAAGACAAATAACCACGCTGACCTTATTGCAGCGTTCCAAAACACAACTCCTCTCCGACACTTTTTTAGTACATATTGTAACCACAGAAGAAGTCCAAACATACTTTTGACCGAGTGCAGACTGTACACAATCTGATCAGACTGCTACCTAAGTTCAGCTGATATAAAAAATTGATTGTTCTTTGTTTAAATGGCTTATTTTTCTGATGATTTCCCCACTTGACTGTAGATTTTGATAAGGTTTAAACCTGCTGGCCAATTTAAAAACTGTCTTTCTAAAAACTTCATACTGGAATTCTGTAGGAATCTAATGAAAAGAAGAACATATTTTATTACAGAGTTCAAAATGATTGGTGAAAACAAACGTCTTTGTCTGTGTATCCCTCAACAGCATGCTCTTTACTTCATAATAAATGATGGAAAATATGCTTGAAGGAGTTTCTCAAAATTAATAATTTCAGTATTGAGCCTCTTTGTGAAACAAGTGAAATTAGCTTCTTTTTAAGCAGCAGCAAAACACCTCTGTAAATATTTGCCAAGATAGACAAAAATGCATGTTGTAACGTGAAAAACGAGTGGGCATTTCCACAAAATAAATTTGTCGTGTACAGAAATATTTTTGCTTTTTCATACAAAGCACCAATGAAACTGATTTACGTTTGGCAAACAATGCCACAATACGTTTACCAAAATATGCCAAAACGTGAGTAAAAATGTGCTCCTGTGGCATTTTTTTCTCCATCTTAAACATGGGATTTGTAAATATGCACACAAAGACAAACATGAAGCAATTCAAGGAATGCTGGTGCACTGTGGAAGATTTTATACTTTCTGTCTTAGCAATGGACTTTCACAAAGCCAGGACAGTAGCTCAAACAACAAGTAGAAAAATGTAAAAAAAAAAATTAAACCTAGTGTATGTTTTGGGTAGCTTCGTTGTAAAAAAAACAAACAAAAAAAACTCTAGTTCTTGTTTTTAGCAACTGAATTATTTAGCCAAGAATTTGTTATTATAAATCTTATCTATGTAGTAGATTGCATCTGCAGTGGAAAATGCCACCAATGTATTGCTTTAAATTGGTTGCAGTTTTTAAAAAATGTGCAAAGGTTTTCTGAATTGAGGTATTTTGCAAAGATAAAGCCACACACTCAAGTCTCAATCTTATCACAGATTGAGTCACAGATTGTAAGGTGCAAATATTTGATGAGGAGTTGATATAGCAAAGGGCAAGTGATCCATAGCGTGAACTTTCACTGATGTCCTTTAATAAAATGTCCACTCTCTTCCAGATGACAGAGGGAAACATGAAAAAAGACCTGGAAGCGTCTCTGCCTGCTGCACAGGACAACTTTGCAATCCGGTGCCGAGATGTATGCCGGTCGTATGGAAAGCTAAAGGTCCTAACCAACCTTAACCTGACCGTACCACAGGGACAGATGTGAGTACTCTCACTCTTAAGGGGTTTTCACACCTGACGGTCCATTAGACTCGGTTCGATTGAGAACCAAAATTACAATATTTGTTACATTTTTAGCTAGAGAGGTTCTCTTTCAATCTGCACCGTGTCAGACAAACTGAATCCTTTGAAAAACCCGTTTACCCCCTCGCTTGTGATTGCACTGCACCAAGAACCAATGAAGAAAACAACACTGTCTTCATGAAATGTAAACAAAATTTGAGTGGTGTGAGAAATTAGCAGTTGTAGGATTTATCTTTTGTCTTTGTTAAAAGACCATGAGAAATTTTTCCCACTAGCTAGATTTGCTAGAGTTCACTTCAATCGAACTGAAACCTAGGTTTATGGTGGACCAGAGATCGCCTTTTTGGTCTACATCAGAGTTTGATTGTGCATTTCTCCTTGTAGCACTGACAGGCATTAAGTACTCTTCCTAGTCATCCAAGGATGGCTCACCATGCAAATGATGTTTGCATTCTCGAGGGAGCTGCTGGCAGGACGCTCGCCCTCTCCTTTTGTCATTCATTTGACTAATCAGTCGCCAAACTCGTCACCTTCCGGCTTAGAAATCAAGGTACTGCCGGTACATACTGTTTGGCTGGTTTTTGTGAAAAGAGGAAAATTCCATCCCTCCTAAGTGCTAATAGAGTTAGAGATGAGATAGCAAAGAAAACATACTGTTCTGTGACACCGCAGCCTTCAGCTGCTTGTAAAAATTAGCTTCTGGTTTCTGTCCTTTGTTTACTGTCACCACTGTTTGTCTTTGTCATTTCTGTGCCCAGTGATAGAGGATTTACTTTGACTTTTTTCTACATTGACCTAAATTCTTGGAATGACAAAAGTACAGTTCACTCATAAATATGTACAGGTTCAGTTTACAGGTCACTCATGTACTGATTCTGCAGAGAAAAGAATAAATATGGACACCATGTCAACAAGGATTCTTATCTATCTACCTCAAACATGCACAAAATAATGATTCAAATTCAGTGTACAGAACCATACAAGTTAAGTCCGTTACAAACATTGCAAGACGTCTTCAGACTGTGTTAAATCATTTAGCACAATAATCACATCTTGCACCATACCTCACTTGTCTGCTGCATTGAGACAGACCATCTAAACTGTACTATATGCTGCTGAAACTACAGTTCACTGAAAATAACACATCATGATTATGACATGGTATTTCTCAACAGAATGATGTAACATTCAACAGTCATTAGGGTATTCCAAGTATGTGTGAAGCTCAATGCTCTAAGAACAGGCAACTTTGTTCTCCTTCCCAGGGCTGAAAGAAAAGAATGACATTACTTTCTTCTTGCAACCCTGGCTTGAGGTGTTTTTACAAGTTTTCCTGGACACATATTCTGTTGAGAACGTTTTGTCTTGCGGTGTCCAACTATCAAACGCTGCCAAAAGCGGGAACTATGAGGAACCCAGAGTGCTGCACTTTAGTTCATTAGGACTTGTTCTTGTTCTAGCGAGGGTAAAAGAACACATTTGTTCTTGTACACTATTGATCTAAAGAATATGCAAAGTATGCTGTGATAGTATGTCTTGATTTAGTATAGAATGATAGAAATCAAACTTTCAATCCTCAAACCTGGCAACTTTTGTTTGCCGCTTTAACTATTGTGTAAAAAAAAACAGAAACCTTGTTTTAAACTTATGATGACAATATTTTCATCCATATGGGTATTAAAACAACATGAACAATTCTAAGAGCTTGGATTTTTTTTTATTAGAGTAGCATAAAATGTAATTAAAGCTAATATTAGGGAAATAGATAGGGAACAGCCTTTGAAAACTTCCCCAGGGAGTCTAAACTGCTAGCGTGTCTTGCCATAAACATGTTTTTAAGTTTTAGAAGCATTAATGGATCTAAAAACTAAAACAGTTTTTAATAAAAAATTTAAGACTCTGATTGGAATATGTTTTACTGTAAAAATAGATCAATTAAGTCTGTTTGCTCTTTAAAACTTTTATTCTGAGCTAAATTATTTATTGCCATGAATAATTTCCATAAACTTTATTTCAAGTTATCTTTTTCAGAGTATCATATTCTTTTCAATAAAAATAAATCTATAACACGTCTTCAATTTTTACTTATAAATACTTAAGGATCGTCTACTCATTATGAAATTTTAAAAGGGTTTACTTGCCATTTTCTCCATTTAGCGTAGCTAAGCTACCCTTGTATCTCTACTCTTAAAATTAAGCAAAATAAGAAAATATTGTGATATAACTATGATAAATTAGTAAACAATAACAAAATAGCATGTTTACTAAAAATTCAAGTGATTTATAGCACAAGTTATAATTTTTTTTTACTAAATGCTACAAAACAACTAATCAGTTTGCCTCTTCGCCAAGTTTTTCGGGTTCATCGCTGTACATTCTTCATTTACCTAAACAAAACATTTTGTAACCATGCACTCTGACCAAGACCTATTGAATTATTTTTAATTGTTGTTAAGTATTTTCCATATTTATGTAGATGGATAAAATAATAATTTTCAGTGTTTCAGCAAACACCAAAAATATACAGAAGCTGAGAGTCTGCACTGAAAACTCAGTCACCTAGCAACATTGGGGTTCGCAACATTTCTACCTCACCTGACAAGGTCCCTCAGGTTCCTGGTTACATCTCAACCAAAGCCTTTAGTTTATCTAACATGATCACCTTCAACACAACTTGCATCCAAACCTGATAAGCCAAGCGAAATGTGTGCTATGGAAAATGTTACAGAATGTGCTAGTAGTAGATTTTATTTTATTTTTACCTTGTTTGTACGTAAAAATCTTCTTTAGTTTCATGCTAATGTGTGAATTGTTCATGATTTTGTTTTGCAGTTATGGCCTTTTGGGTCCCAGCGGATGTGGAAAAACGACGCTTTTAAAATGTATTGTGGGAACACTGAAAATATCAAGAGGACACATCACTGTGTTGGGGAAGCCGCCTGCATTTCCTGGACATGAGGTCCCAGGGAAGATGGTTGGATACATGCCGCAGGTAAACTGCTAAACGTAAACACTCGGCTCCCTTACAATCATTTGCTCAAAAGTCTTGAATGTTTTGAAAAACAAATACATTAACTCAAAAAAAATTGGAAAATAAAACTCTGTTACATTTTGCTGTCAATCTTAGGATGAGGTTTTGATTTTTAGCTTGTTAGAAATCCACAGATACCCCAGTAAGTGTAGGAGTGTGGAAGATTTTAGGTGTTTTTTTTTTTTTTACAGAAAACTCTAGACCCAGCTTTTATATCAGTGAGCTGCTCTTTATGACCAAAAATCCCTGCCTCGCTCTAGGCCTTCAGTAATTTAGCCTGTGTTGCTAGGCGATGCAGCGTGAACTCGTTACTGTCAAACTAGAGTTCAGATCCAGGGAGTTGCATGCATGCTATCTGTCCTCATATTACCTTAAGCTTCCTGTTCATCCACACAGTGTGACACATATAGAGAGAAAGAACTGACATATGAAATGTTACTTTTCTTTGATGCCAAGATATTTTTTTTCTTACAACTCAACAAGAGATGTCACCAATAAATGGCAAACCACATGAATGTCATGTCATAGGGAAATATTTTGTGTTTGTATACTCTAATAATATGGATATTTTTGTGTTTTTTTTGTTTTAAGAAAATGCAGTCTTAGTCTTTGCTTTATTTTTGTATATTTAAATGACATTTAAAGCATGGTTATTGCATTTTTTCATCTTTGAATGATCAAATTTGCTTCGGTGAAAGTCTTAATGTGTTACTCCTAACTTTTTAGATATCAGGTTCTAGTTAAAGATTAATAGTGGTTAATAACTGACCTGCAGTACATCACTCTTTTTCCACCTTCATGACCTGCTCTCAAACTCAAGGCCCAGGAGTCAAATCTGGCCTGCCGAAGCTCTTTATGTGGCCCTCTAGACTCCAAATTACATCAGTAAGTCCCTCCAGTTTTTCACAAATCCTAAAAATTTACACAAAATTAACAGATCTCCACATTTTTTTGGTCAAAAACATTGAGTTTAACTGACTGCAGCCTCTGATGTCAAGAAATAGACAAATGCTAAAAAGTCACATTTAACATCATACATTAGCACAAATATCATGAAACACATATTACACATATTTCTAACTTAGCATCACAAAATATGTGATTTTGATTACAAAAAAACACAAAAACAATCAAAAATTCCTGGAGGGACAGCTATTTATTAATATTTTAACAGTTGGTTTTATCAACATATTCTGGTACAACCAGCCCTTTAACCGGACTATATCAGATTTTTGATATGGTCCAAAATGAAACTGAGTTTGACATTCCTGCCGTAGATGAAGAAAACAGCTAGCCTGTCTGGCTGCAATCAAAGTGAACTTCTACCATATTGAAACATTACGCAAAACGCTGATGGTAATGTTCACAAACTCTGTTTTATAACATTTTTAATAACGCTGTTAGCATTGGGTGATTATTTACTCAGATGCTGATGATTAAGTAAACAGGAAATGGAGGTTGGGGGCCGTGCGCCATCAGTAGTCTTCCTGTGGGATACATACTCGGAACAGAACGTGAATTTTGTCACCAATTCATTGTGGTAAAAGTTTAAAGGTCGATCCAAAAGGGTTTGTCTAAACTAATCAGCATTCATACAGAAAAAAAAATGCAAAAAGAGTTATCAACTGCAGGTAGGATATTACCTGTTTGTTACTTGAAATCTTTAGTTTTACAGGTAGGACAAACAACCATAGTCACACACAATTACTGCTAAAGGCATTTCAGACCGACTAGTTAACCTAACAAGCATATTTTTGGACTGTGGAAGGGAGTCGCAGCTCCAAGAGAGAGCCACACATTCACAAGGAGAATACTTCATACCGGAAGCATTCTGTATGCTTCCTGAATGCTGGGATTTGAACCCTGACCCTGTCTTATACACATCAACTGCCCCACCAAACAGGCCTTTACCAGAGCATCACTTCAAAAGCTCTTATCTTGTGAAGCACACATTTTTTAGTCATGTCTTTAACACGTTGAATAAACATACTGTAAGTGATTGTACGCTATCATGAAAATTCATGTTTTTGTGTGTTCAGAAAAGAATCATGCAATAACATGTGGAAAGACTGATATCCCCAGACATCCGCTGAAGTGGAACCTACAGGGTTTTATTGCTTCTAGTCTAAAAAAACACATGAAACAAGTTACAACACGGGTCTGTTTGTGTTGCACAGGAACTGGCGCTGTACAACGAGTTCACCATTAGCGACACCTTGACTTTCTTTGGACGAATCCATGGCCTGACATCGAAGGAAACCCAAGCACGCATGAACTTCCTTATTGACTTCCTGCATCTACCTCAGAAAAGCAGCCTAGTCCGAAATCTAAGGTAAAACTCATTTACCACTTTACAGGCACTTTACATCTAGTAATGACTTTAAAGATCCCGCACTCGGATGTGCACCTGGTCGAGCCTAAAAGCATTTTATCGTACGATGCAGCCAGTTAATGATGTGCTGTGGACTTTGAACCTCGAATTATCTGTATTAGTGAACCCACATAGGCGGACAAACATGATCTCGTCTCTTGAGAGGCTGTTAAGCAACAAAGCAGTCAGAGTTTGTCTGATAAGCGCTCGGGGGGAAAGTTAAATTACTCTGCGATTGGGCGTTTTATGACTATTATGTTCACAGCAGTGTTGACAGAACTGAAAGCCCTTGTTAGACCTACTATTACTTAAACTTAGTAAAACTATATTTCATTAAGTTTCACTTTTTTCACGTTGTGTTCTATATTAGCTCTACCACGGTTCTAATGCTGATAAAGTTTTCTTATTTCTCTTTAATTTGGTGTAAAAATTTGCTTCGGTGTCATCTGGTATTATATTTTGATAAGATGAAGGGATGAAGCTTCATTTGGCAAAGCTAAAAAAAAAGATCAAATCATGTATTTTATGACTAGCTAGTCTTCATCTTGTTCTTTTTATTATTAAATTATTTCAGCTCGTGTTTGCTGGTCTCCATGCTACTCAACCTTATTAAGTAAAGAAGTCATATTATGCGGGTGTGAATGTTGTGGCCTAATATGGGAAAGTCCATAATACACGCCTCACTGAAGATATGTATGGTATGCACAAATATGCTCCATATGTAGCCTTTACAGTGGCGTTTCGTGTGTTTAATTATTTTATAATCTCATATTTGTTTAAAATGCAGTGTTAGATGTATTTGCTCAGTTGTGATTTGCTAAATATCACATGTAAAGAGGTTGTTTTTTGATGATGTCATCCCTGTGGTTGGTTATTGTTTACCTCAGTCCCATCAGGCAGGTTTGTCTTGACCGTTTTGTTCTGGAAGCTTCCCACCTTTTCGCCTTCTTCTGTCTCAAGCGGCATGCATAATATCAACCAGTTACGAAACAACACTGGAGAAGGATCTTCCTGTGTGAATTTTTTTTTCTCACGTTTTGCCCCTGTGTGTCACAGCGGGGGTCAGAGGCGGAGAGTGTCTCTCGGAGCTGCCTTGCTGCAGAATCCTGAGCTGCTCATCTTGGATGAACCGACGGTTGGAGTGGACCCCGTGCTTAGAGCCAAGTATGTAGCCGCCTGTCTGTCCTCTGTGAGTCACCCAGCAGATCTGCAGACTGCACTTCACAGTCATGTGGAACTTTCCAGATGCCCTTACACAAACACAACCCACTAAAGGGAGACATCTTATTTGGATACAACTGAGGCCCAACTGGGAGTAAATCCCTAAGGAATGATGGAACCAAATATTTGCATACATTGTATATATATATATAAAAACATCACATTTTTTCCTCACATTTAAATCAGACTGAAGTTTTCCTGTTTCAGCTCAGTTAGCATTAGCAAAATTATTTCTATTTACTAAATCCTAGAGAGATTAGAGATGTTTTGGGAGATTTTCCTATCACTTTCTTTAAAGTCAGAAGTTCACATGAAGCTTGTAATGCCTTTAGATGATGATTTCATAACTTTGTCATGGCTTTTACATCCCAAATCCAAAATGGGCTGGTGGCATCATCATGTGTGCATGTTTTGCAACAGGAGAAACTGGTGCACTTCATACAAAATACAACACATCAGAGCGTCGCAACACATCAATCAGGAAGTTACAATATGAGTCCAGATTGGTCTTTCAAATGTACAATGACCCTAAGCAAAATTATATATACAGCATAAGGTTTCCCCCAGAACTCTTGCTAAACCCGGTGTCACAGCGGAGGTAAGGCAGTCATTCATCCAGCAGCCCGTCGTGTTTTTGAGTTAAAAGATGTTTAAAGTTGACAGGAAATTTTAGAATATCACTTGATAATTATGTGTCATTGGAAGACAGGAAGATTAATACCTGAACACCAACTATAAAGTCCTAAAAAATGCAAACATTAAAAAACACACTTAAATAAATAAGCAATGCTTAACCTGGTGGGGGCACAAATAAAGCCTGGTGGCCTGCCAGGCTTATATTACACAGGGGGGACACCCTGCAGTAGGTTAAGGACAGCAGAGTGGCCATCAGAAATCTTTAATCTCATTCCAAGAATATGCCAAAACTTCAGCAAAGCTAAAAGTTTTGTGTAACTCAATGTCTTTGTCTATGTATGTAAATATCTGATTTGGACTGGATTTGTATTTTAGGTTTATTTTGTTTTTTGTTTTTACAAAGAAGTAATATTAATAGTTTCTTTTTTTGATTGTTGTGTTTCTAAACAAATGTCTTATTTATATCTTTTTTCTTTCCTTTCTGGTGATTAGTTTAAATTTAGCACAGATGATCTGATAAATCTTTTTCAACACGATGACGAATATCTTCTCAGTTCTAAAAGCTTGAGAGAAGATTAGCAAAAAAGTATTTACATCAAACTCTAATATCAACTTTATCAGCTGGAAAATGTTTCTTTGGAACCACGTGGTTTCATAAATCAATAATCAAAACGTCATGTTAAATCCTTTTATATCACAATATCAATTTGTAGCTGATTGCTTTAGTCATCAAATTAAGTTTATTGCCGTGGGTTTTGTTTTTCTCCAAAGTGCGCTATGTTATCTGCAGAACATAGGTGTGGGCCATTGAGATATTCTCTCAGTATGATAACGTTAAGCATCAGTGCCACTTCATTTTCATTTTCACAGTTTTTTTTTTACCTTATTTAATTTCAGTATTTAATTGTAAAGCGTTTAATTGACCAAAGGTTGTAAACAAAATGTGTTTTTAGTTCAATCCAGAATATTGTGTACATTACCAAAGGTAAAGTTTCGACTAAACAAAACGACTATTGATCAACTAAAAGGAGTTAATAATTTTTCAGAAACCTTTTGTTATATCAATATATAAAATATTTTGAAAATGAGCCATTTCTGTGAATTTATTCTTAACTTTTTACAGACACAAAATACACTTGAATTTCCTCTTAAAATGCTGCAACAGTTCTAATTTTCTATCTTTCTATCTTTCTTTATCATTAGAAGATTTTCTTCAGTGCTCGGTCGCATGAAGTTGTTTCTTTGGACACGCAGCACTTTAAAAAAAATCTGCTGACATGACTGTAAGCAAGGGGAAAAGATTTCTTTCAGCACACTAACTCGCAGTGCACAGCAGCAGGTGGAGATAAGAGAATATTAAGCTGGCATCTCATTAAAAAGATGGAAAATTTGCTGGGTTTCTCAACTGAAACGTGGAACCAGGTCATGCTTACTTAACACTTATGCTTGTACATGAGGGAAAATGACAGCAGTATGTTATTCTGATGCTTAATGAATTTCAAGACAATCATGATGTCAAAAACATCCGTGTATTCATTTTATCATGTATTCCTGCTTATTCATACGGGGCCCTTTGGAGCTGCACTGAAAAACCAAAATCTCACTAAGTATTTTATTTCTAGTTTCAAATGCAGATATCTTATTACACTTCAAATAAGACAAAACTAACTTACAAGTAACTTTTTTAATGAGATAAGAGCTTAATTTTAGTCAATAATTCCTTAATACTGATTAAAAAAAATACTAGTTCCACTGGCAGATAGACATTTATAAGTGAATCTATAAGTAATTTGCCAGAGGATCTGGTACATTTTCACAAATATTAAGGAATTATTGACTTAAAACAAACTCCAACATCTTGCTCAAAATTTGTCTTATTTCCAGTGCAGTAAAATATTTGCAGTATAAACTAGATAAAAACAAACACAATGCCTAAAGAGAGTTACTTTCCATTTATTTGTTTAATGTGAACACTTAACTTATATGTCTATAAGTTTTGTGTCATTATAAGCAGCGAAGAATACACTATAATTTATTACTAAGTATTTTCAGCAGTGATAACTTATTGTAATTTTAGGATTAGTTCATTCGTCTGAAGCCACTTTTTATGACTGTCCACAGATTGAAGTTCAGTTTATCTTTCCAAAAGATAATAAGGACAGATTATATTACCTTCACACCGATAGCGTTGGTAAATGCCTAACGTTCTGCTGATCTGCTAATAGTAATGGTGCACTGACAGCTGTGACCTGGCAGAAGGGTGAAAAGTTTCACCACTTAAGGTCAGCACCAACGGTTTGGATTATTTCTGAGAAAGGTGGACATTTCTTTTGTAATCCAGCCCTGCGGGGTGGTCCTGCGGCGTAGTTGCATAATCACACGGTCTGGCTGGATCAGACGGCCAGAAGCAGGCCTGCTGCTGGCAGGAAATCCAGGAAATCTCCATTCGTGCACAGGTCAGGTGTTATGTAACACGTTGTTATTTATTTATTTATTTTTTTTCATCTTTGGTTTTAGGATCTGGCAACATCTGGTAGAGATTGTGAAGACAGGGAAAGTCTCTGTCATCATTACTACACACTATATAGAGGAGGCCAGGCAAGCCGACGTGGTAAGCAGATATAAACAGGCGCACCTGTGCACACACTGCAACAAAATGAATGGACAGACGCAGCCGAGCCAAGCATGAAAGAGAACTATCAGAACATCTATAGATCAAAACTCTTTCACAGAATAATGAGTCTGGAGATGAATTGTAGTTTTTATTAGTTTTGACAGCAGGATCATGAGTTCAAATTCAGTGAGGGTACGGTGAAATGAGGATGCACAAAGGCTCACTGTGTTTATTTACGTCTTCTGCTCTGGTTGGCAGATTTCATGCGGTGGAGATCGCTGCCGTAATTAATAACGGCTTTAAGCGAGTTTAAACGTGCTGTAAAACTGCAGTGGCTTGTTATTTTTAAACGTTCACCAACCCTTATATTTGGTGTCACCCATTGTAAAGACTTGAAGTTCATACCAGGTAGATGTGCCTCAGCTGGAGGATACTAGCAACAAAAATTGGGTGAGAAGAGGAACAAAATAAGGAATTAAAATGCATATGTACTCAACATAGTTCATAGTTTGGGGTTTGAAACAGATTTTGTTCAAATTGACAAAAAAAAAATTCTGAGTTTTGTAAAACTTGAAGTTGAAAAGAGGACATAAGAATGATCACATTTGATGAAAATTATGTTAGGAAATCAAAAAGCCCTTTGCCTTCATATTAACATTGAGTCACTTTCTCAGAAAACTAACTCCAGGTTCACCTGAAATCCAATAATTCTTTGAGTTCATGTATTGTTTTACAAGTAATCTTCTTTATGAAATCCAAAAAGTTAAATTGCAAGTGAATGTTTGCAATGCAGATTAGCTTTTCTGTAATCCAACCAAAGCTATGTGGTATAGATTAGTTTATGGAGAGAGCAGGTTTAGCTAAGCTAATTGAAGACAACGACTTCTTCTACAGTACAGTTTTCATTCTCTAAAAGCATGAGGCATTTCCTCATGCTGAAAATCTTTTCCCTGTAAACCAATCAGTCAAACCGAATTGTGGTTTTATAATTGTTTATTACAATCCTTTCCTTTGCTACTAACAGCACAGAAATAAAATGCTGGTTTACTGGTGACAAAGCTAAGTGTTATTTTTTCTAGATTATCTCACAGTCTCCTATATAACCTCCATTCTTCGCCTTGTTTTAAAAAAACTAGATTTAAGCTTTGAAATTCAGTCAGAATAAGTTGTTAATTACCGTTGGAGCTAACAGTACAGCTGAATTAGCTAGCTAGCTAACTCATGAAAACTCAAGGCAGAACAGCTTTGTTTACCTTCCAGTTCACCATGATGACAAGGCAAAAACTGATGTGCCTGTTTTAATTGCCAAGAGCTTGTTAATTATGTGTTTCATAAATATTCATCACACTTGTATGAAGACGAATCGTTGTTCTAGTTCACATGTGTCAAGCTAAAGGCCCGTGGGCCAAATCCGGCCCACCGTAGGATTTGACTGCTTCTCTGGTTCTTGGGCAGAATTTCTCAGCACATGACTGTCTTACTGTCGTGTAAAAAGCTTTTTTAACCAGCTCAGTACAAGTCAAAACTGCATGATTTGAATACAGAATGTAAATATGCTTTTCTTGTTGTTGAACCCATAAACATAGAGTGAAAAAATATCCAATAAAACCAGTATAACCACTTATGTTAGTACTTTCAGTATGAAATGACAGCTTGATGAAAGACAGCCACATGTGCAGAGTCAGCATGATGTAGTTGCTAATTGGCTCTTTTAATTCCTTGCCAGAGGAATGCTTTGTTCGTGTAATAAACATCACAAAGATGCTCTGCTCTACTTTTAGGGAGTGAGAAGAAATGAGGTCTCCTGGCTACTGAAACATTGCCATGTCACTTTGATGTGACTTAGAAAACAGGAGTTTTATCAATGCTTTTCATGCTATAGCATCTCCTGTAACAGGTTAGCAATGTCAGATATTGCACATTGCTTTAGTTTATGGCATGTGTGTATCAGAAATGTAGGTTTTGACATCTTTTTATGCATACGTAGATGACTTTTTTTATTTCCTTCTTTCTGTTTGTGTTCTCAATGATTTTCAGGAACTTGATAGATAGTCTAGATGTCAGCTTCCCTTTGTACGACCTACTTGTGTATTTAGTATGTCCAATTTCATTCTCTAAAAGCATGAGGCATTTCCTCATCCTGAAAATCTTTTGCCTGTAAACCAATCAGTCAAACCGAATTGTGGTTTTATAATTGTTTATTACAATCCTTTTCTTTGCTGCTATCAGCACTGAAATAAAATGCTGGTTTATTGGTGACAAAGTGTCTATTTGGAGTCAAATCAAAGTATTCTCCTATGAATTTTATTTATTTATTTATTTTTTCATTTTCTTAAGGTTGGTCTGATGAGAAACGGCCATTTGCTGGCAGAAGGTCCTCCAGATGCAGTCATGAAGCAGCACAGTGCAACAGTGAGTACTCTCTAGGTCTCAGGTGTGTGGCTCCTGTCGGGGTCAGGGAGTCGTTCTTGTTTTCTAATGACTGAAACGTGACTAATAAGGGGGAAAAATAAATGTAGAGAAGGTAACCTCTCTCTGCTTTTTGGGCTGTTCTCATACAAACTACGCAAAAACCCCAATTAAAACCCATGAGCTGCAGCTTGTTCTGACCTCCGTTACGGGCTGTTTGCAGACCCTGGAGCATGCCTTCTTGCAGCTGTGCGAGTCGTCGGACCAGAACTCCACTCAGGAATCCAACTCAGAGAGCGAAACCCTGGAGAAGAGCCAAATGTTCGCGAATGGCCGGGACGAGAGTCAGCCAATCCTCGCGGTCGGGCCTCCACCTGTGGAAGACATTCCTAAATGTACAGGTACTGATGTATGCACAATGTATTATAGTTATAATGTGTTTTTATTTTGTTTATGGAACTCCACGGACGAAAGTAATCGAAATAAGGGTAAAAATTCCGAGGTCTTTTTCACCTGGCTGGTGAAAACATTTTGCAGGCAAATGTCTCACAATGTTGTTCCAAAATATGTCTAATTGTGACCAGGGATCAGTTTTATAAATCTTTTACAAAATCCTAGTCGAGACCTGAAATCAAATAAATATGCTTGCAATCTGAATTTGAGACTTTAAAAGCTTTCTTCTTTTTGGTCCCCAATCATTTTGTTCCGTCTCTTTAATTAAAGTGGGATAAATCTTAGAAGTGGAACCTTATCTGAACTCGCTCGCATTTATGTCTCCATATCTGTCTGAGCAGAGCCGCTTTATGACTTCAGGCCTTGTGATTCCATGTTGAGATACGGCCTTTAATAGCAGCTCTAAGTTCAGTCTATCAGGGAGATCTTATCCAGACAGTGCATTCTGGAGACAACAGATACGGTATGAAGTGGGATCATGTTTGTTCAGGACATGTGCTCGGTGCCAAGTTGCTGGCGTCAATCTGTCGTCGACCTTCTTTGGAAAAATTGTGTTGCTTTTAGACATTTAATTTTTTTATATATATATTTTTTTTACACAGGAGCACGTTTATGTTTTTCAGGCTATTCAGATCTGAACATTCATATGCTACAAACATGGCAACTAAAAATAGAGAGATAGTTTACTCATTATTGACATTTTGTAATGTAAAAGTTTCAAACTTAACTAGACTTTATCACTTTTTAGGGGACAGGCCAACTCAGAGCAGAAGGAAAATGATGCAGGGTGTCCAATGTGCGGCTTCTAATTGAACGGGTAGTTGCTTTAGATTAAAACTTTACATTTTTAATTAGGGCAAAAATTATCACAAGTTAAACATTTCTTACAATAGAAAATACTGGCCACAATACAAAGAATTATATTTTAGCATTTAGATTTTAGGCTCATTCTGTAGGAATTTTTTATGCTTATTTTGTGGAGATTTTTGTATTTATTCTGTAAATTTAACCCTTCAAGTCTCCATAATTGAAATTCTAAAAACTGTCCTTGAGTCAAATCAAACATAATATTCATTATTCATTATATGTGACAAAATAAAATCAAAGTATTCATCTTTAAGTAACCAGGATTTTTGTTTTCTCCTGCAAGCTCCACATCTTTCCTGTGACTTTTACTCAATTTTGCTGCACCCAAATCTGGTTTTTATCACTTTGGCTAAGAATGGAAAGAATTTACAAAGAAAAGAGAGAGACCTAAATGATGTTGTTATTGCACAGAGTTGACTAAATGTTTTTCTTTTTAATCAAGACCTAAACATTTTGAAAACTGGATTCCTTTTTTTTTTTTTTTTTTTTTTACGTTTACCTCCAAAACCTGTTTGAAGTTTTGAATCTGCGGTAATCAATCACCTTCCCAACGAAAAAATCAGAAAGTTTGTTTGGTTAAAGTACTCTGGTTTATTGTTCAGAAGGAAAAATTTGTTGTTTTTTTTTACCAAAACTGAGTTCTTTAGACATTTCTTGTGACACATAGTTTGGACACCCATCACCTGAACTGTACTGCGGTGCTTACATTATGTTATATGGTCACATCTACATTAACTTGAGGTTGTCCCAAATCATCATGGATTATTTTTCTGTGATTTGATGCTCAGCGGACTGGAAGGTGCGGGCCAGACACATCCTGCCAAAGGGGAGAAACATCGGCGCGCTGTTCATCAAAACAATGGTGCGGATGAAGAGAATGCCAGGGTATTTCCTTTTCTTTCTTTCTTTTTTTAATTTCTAATCAATAACAGCAGGAGAGAAACAAACAGAAGCTTGTTTAGTGACTGGTTGGGTCTCCTGCGGGCTTGCAGCTCGTTGTGTTTCCAGTTCCTGCTGCCAGTCATCCAGATCTCGCTCATCTGTCTGTGTGTCGGCGGAGATCCGAAGGGGATCAAGGTTGCTGTGGTGAACAACGACAGCTACCCGCCGTCCAGCTCATTCAGCCAGTCGCTGCTCACCTTCCTGGACAACTCCAGCGTGATTCAGGTACGGCTTCGTTTCTGAGGAGTACGATTCGAACAAGCTGATGTTCTCTGGCTCGGTTTTGCTTTAGTTTTCACTTATGCCCCTTTTCCACCGGCTCGACTCGGCCCAGCTCGGCTCGGACCCCCTGGATATTCCCTCGCTTTATCCAGGAAACATCCATGGGGTCCGCGCATCCTTAAAATGACTTAAATTCCTTTTTTAAAATTTTTTTATTACATGACTATCATTTACAGTGAATGAACAACCAAACAGAAATCTTCTTACTTTTTATCTATAGTTCCTTCAAAAGCAGCAGTTACTGTACTTAGTCATTTTAACGTGCAGGTGTGTGTGTGGATGTGTGTGTTTTGTTTAAATCTTAACCAAGAGAGTTTCAGTTCTCCTTCCCACCAACACTTCAGACTTCCTTTCTTCTAGGAAAGTTTCGTTCTGTTTGTGGAGGAACCGAAACCTTACAGTCCACTGTAGTGCTGCACATGTACCACACAGAGTACGAACTGACACAGACTCTCACAGATTATGAGAGTTTTCAGAATACTGTGTAGTTTTTATTATCTTGTAATCTGTGAGCAGCAGTTTCAGGTCATTGTTAAATCTGATTTTCTTGACCCCGACAAACTTTCAAACGCCTGGAATCACGTTTACCATTACAAGTCCTTCCATATTTCCAGCCCAACGTGTTGCTGGAACCTTTACGGTATTTAATTTTTTTTTAAGATTCATCTTATTCCCAAACCTGCTTGGGTTCTGTTAGACCTGAGTGCTGCATTTGATACAGTAGGTCATATAAACACCACTGGTTCGTCTGGATCGACGTTGGTGGTCCAGCTCTTTCAGTGGTTCATCTCAAAACAAGATTATTTTTATCTTCAAATTATTTTCTTTCATCCTTTATGCCTCATCTCCCCTGTTGGGCACCGCAGGGCCCTATTTTTGACCCCAGTCCTGTTTTCTTAGTTTCCTCAAAAAGCTACAGATTATCTCCAACCTCTTATTCTCACCATCAGCGATAGAATAGAAATTTCTCATCATAAGCAGCAGCAGATCAGAAGGTGTTAGTTTCTGTACTTTTTTCATCTGGCGCCCTTGCACCCAGCATGTTGCATCTTACTAAATGTGTCAAGCTCTGTGTGTTTCTCTTGGTCCTGATCTCCATTTAAACAATCATGAATCACCTCTTCCATGTCTTCACTTACTTCACAGACTACTGCAGAGTATTTTATATCCATTGTCCTCAGTCTCAGTTATTCTGCCTGCAGATCGCCGTAGCCTCTTGACATTGATTTGCAGTCTATTTTAGGATTTGTTTTAAAATTCTGATTGTATTTAAGGCTCTAAATGGGTAAACCCACTGCACAGTGTAGAGATAAAGGCTCTTCAGTCTGTGGAGTCCTCTTCCTGTTGTGTCTGTTTCATGTTGTTACCTTCCCAAGAGGATTTTCTCCATCTTTCCAAAAGTTTTTTTTTTTGTACACAAAAAAAGACACATAGCAATTACTGAGGTCATTATTTTAGGAAGGTGACAAAATGTTGCTTACTGGTGTAAGTCTGGTAGTTTGTAGTTGCATTTTAAAATATATCTAGATATGATGCACAGCATGAAACTGAATTTAAATGTGCTGTGCACAAAAGTAAAACTAAAACATACAGGATGCCGGCCCTCCAGGACCCACTTTGGCCCTAGAGACTTTCTGCTTTTTAGGTAATTGAACCATTGGGGGAAAATGAAACAACAGTCATATATATAAACTGCTCTCTTTTTTTTCCCTTTTTTTTTGCATTTACAGGTTCCCCTGCCCCACAAGGAGGCGTTCGAAGGGGTCCATAAAGGGGAGTACTGGGGCGTCATCGGCTTCGGACAGAACTTCACCAATTACTTGACTAAACGGTAAGATGATCTCTAATGACAATACCTCATTTGAATACATCTGGTTTTGATCACACTGCGTGAGTCATCCTGAAAGAGTCAAATCTTGAACTCTGGTAGCTAAATACCAAAGTTTGGGTGAAATGCACAAAATATTGATATGATATTATTAACATCATTAATAGTGTTATTACTATTAATGATGTAAATGATACTGAAAAAAATACACATAAAGACCTAACCGGAGTAAAAGATAAATATAGAAAAATATCATAAAACAACAATAAAATCAGAATATGTTCCTGCAATTAACTTTAAACTGGTTTAAAAGTAGAAGTACAGCAGTCAGTCAGTCAGCCACTGATTATTATTTTCTTAACCAGGAATCAACAGATCAAATTAAACAGATTTTTTTTTCTTTCATTTGTTAAATGCTTCAAAACTTAAAGACTCTCAATTTTAGTCTGTAAATGGCCAGTTAATGATCGTGTAATTTTTATAATAACTAAAGGTAACGTAGTTGCTTGATTGTGCCTGGAAAATACAGGCACAATGTGACGTTGGTAACTCTACCCCACTCTTCGCTAAAAGCTCTCGCGTTTCTCCGCTCGGCTATTGTTACATGTCAGATACACGTCTACTGCCATCGGGCGTCTCCTCCGTACTTCTGCAAGACGCGTACAGTTTCCTGCAGAGGCATTCGATCCCCTGGATGTTTTTCACATTCTGTCATGTTATGATGCCTTAAACTTCTCCGTTATGGGATAGAGGAACACAATGCAGTAGTGAAGAAGAGGGAAAGGGATTTGTGATTATTAAGTTTAGTTGTTTTGTTTTGTGTTGTTATATATATATATTCAGCCCTTTTCACTCAGAATTTTGTAACTGGAGCAACACTTTGACTCCGGTTATAACGCCGCGTGATGTAATAGTGTAATAAAATTGGGCTATAGACATAGAATGTAATAAAACATAATTAAGACCGCATTATGTAAGTCAGTGCAAAATGTAATAAAATCCTTGAACGCATTTTTGAATTGGTTTGCTTTGAACGACGTGTAGGCTGTTACCGAGAGTTCTGGTCTGAAAAGGCAATTAAGTTATCAGAAGTTCATTTAGTGGCCAAAATTTCAATTTAGAAGGATCTACAGCATGATCGTAGTTAGAAGTATAATTATGAACATTAATATAAAAATATGTAATCACACATCACTGAACAGTTACCAGAAAAAAAAAAGTTTCTCCTGACTCCATGGTTTAGCTGCATTTATTGAAAGCTTCTGAAAACACATTTTTCTCATCCTGTTTTCCTTCCCTTCCTCTCCTCTGTCACCGTGAGGGTTTCGGTTTCACAAACCGGTGTTCTTGTTGTTGTTCATCTGCAACATGTTTGTTGTGAGTCAAACAGGTGTTCAGTCATCATGTAAACACCCTACCTACCTGCCGGTTCGGACCGGCTCTGCTGAAGCACGCCGTGGTGTCAAACACAAAAAAACAAATTCCACTAACTCATGGCTAAAGAGAAGAAAGTTCACCACACACACATTTACGTACTGGCTTGGAGACATGCATAAACTGTATGTGCAGGAAGCCACCTCATTGGTCTGGTTGTGAAACTTGTTTCCCTGCCTTTTGTTTGACCTTTCTGACCTTTGACCTACTATATGTGCATTAGGGCCGCTCAGCAGATATCAGCGTGATCGTCCACAGCTGAAAGGGGAATGAATGTGTTGTTTATAACCAGACATGTTTTCATGGGTAACGTGGTTTTTAGAGCTTCGATCAGGCTAACAATAACAGTTAGTGAGAAAAACAACTTCGAAATGCTACAACTTAACATAACTGTACTTCCTGATTATCCTACCAGCAGTGAAACGATATGCCAACATTGTTTGTTTTCATGGAACTATTTCTCTTGAGTCTCACTTTGAGTCACTAAAGTTCATTAGAGCTGCTGTCATGTGAACATGAGTCAGAGTCCCCAGTTTTTGTTTTCTGTGCGCCGGAGTCGCAGGTCGCCATTCTGGTCCTTCCTGTCCTTAAAAACACTTAGGCGGGTTCTGGTTTTAGGGGGTCAGCCAATCAGACGCCGGTTTTCTCTGAGCCACGTGGCGCTGATGTGACCGACCTGGTCGAGCAAAACAAAAGGTGTTCGGCTTCCACATTCTCTGGCTTCCACACAACAGTCTGAGGTCGACAAAATGGGCCGCAAGCAGATTTGAAGCCAATTAGCCTTCAAAGGTGTCTTTGATGTTTTAAGACATAGATTTAAAATACACACCCACGTGTAGGGTATTTGTTTTTTCTAATGAAGCCCCCTCTGTCTGACTTATGAGTCTTTCAAGCATATCAATGCTCCTAGACTCAAGAGATGAGCCAGTGTTGTGTGTACTCTGAAGAGAAAATGTAGGACAGGTTTGTATTTGATGTGAACTTTTGGGGTTTGTTACCAGAAGCCTGTCATTAGCACACAACAATTAATATAACTGATAAATGGGCTAGCCAATAAATTGGATCAGTTTCCTTCATTTTAGTTGATTGGCAATCATTCTATAGTTGAGAAACCGATCTGATCTACCTTCCTCTGTTCTGCTGTGAGAGAGGGCCGACTGACAGACCCACCCACCGCATCACGACCGCACGCTCACAGTTAACAATAATCACCACACTGCTGCCAACTTGGCAACAAAGTTGCCATGTTTAGCCACTTTTTACACAAAAAAACATCAGTATCATTTAAAATTGTATCAGTAATTGGTGATTACCCAGAAAGCTGCATGGAGTTCACCCCGATGAAGTGCGATATTTATTTTCCAGACAAATGTATTCCAGGTTAATGAAGTTATAGTCGTACATGTTATTATAAAATCAGAGAACAAAGTTTTTAAATAAATATTTTTTGAATATATTTTGGATGGAGCAAAAACATAAGTTTGCTCCCCAGAGTGGATACAGTAATGTTCACGCTCCTATGACCAGCGAGTGAAGTGAGTGAACATTTCAAACATTAGAATAAGGAGCTGTTAACTAAAAACTTGGGAACTTTTGTCTCAGGGTTTAGATGCTTTTCCATAAGGATATTGTACGGAGCTCTTTTTGAGTCAGCTGGGATTTCTGAAAAGTTTCACACCTTCGTTTGGTTCCGTTCATTTCCACAATGGACCTTTGACCCACCGTCCCGATAATGTCACACAGTTACAGCTAACATTTTAGAAAAAAAAAATGCACCTATCTACTTCTAGTAAAATATATTTTTTTTAAATTAAGGGTTTAAAAAAAAAAGATAAATTATATTGTAAATATTTCTAAAAGTAATAAAAGACACAAACAATTTAAAATGATCGGTAATTTTGGAATTAGATAAAATTAAGGTAATATAAAAAAGAGTAAATTTATAAGCAATTTGGATAAATGGAAACAGTTATGGTACTTGATGAAAGTTGATGAGAAAGCCAAAAGTAGAAAGCTGCTTAAAAGGCAAAATGATTATTTTTGCTGAAAATAAAATGTAATTTATAAGCCGAGCATAAGTTTATAGCATGTTTCCAGTCTGAGTTAAAAACATGTCTTGAGTTTCCTCTGGTTGGACAGAGATGTTTATCTGTAGATCTACTGATCTGACTGAAAGCGGAAGAAGTTTGGCTGATAGACTCTCAGACTTGCCGTCGGTGGAATATTTAGCCTGGCTGACCTTTCAGGTTCCTGTTGGTGAAACAAACCTGCAGCTACACACTCATCCCTTAATGCATTAATTACTACAACTGTTTATATTTTAATAAAATATCACCTTGATATTTAATCAGAGCTTAACGAAAGAAGCAAGCGAAGGGGATATCCAGAAACAAAAAGCATAATAAGAAAAAGATTGGTTTGAAAAAAAGAGTAAGATGAATCAGAGCTTATTTTTGACTTATCCCTGCATTACCTGATTATTAGCTGCATTACAATAAGAAGAAAATAATCAATCAATCAAGTTTATTTGTGTAACACATTTCAGCAACAAGGTAGTTCAAAGTGCTTTATGTCATAAAAACACAAAAATAAAAAGTCAGAAAAACATCGTCCCGTCACCAATTTGAGTCTGTCGAGTGCCACCATCAAAATCATGAATACACATCAACTATGTTGGTCAGTGTTCTTTTATTATGGTTATAAAGCAACTCTAAACAGGTGGGTTTTGAGCCTTTATTTAAAGAAACCGTGTTTTACAGGATTCTGCAGCGGCAGGTTTCCAAGGAAGTGATCGATGGAGGATCGGTGCACGTCTGGCTGGACCTGACCAGTGGGACACACTTTTGTTTTTAGTGTTACGTTTGTTCGCTTTGGCAGAAAACATTGAATTAACCTGAAGCTTTGTCGTTGAACAGATCGACAGATCGGCCTCATGCTACAGAAGCAGCTGCACCAGGCGTTTCAGGTACAACATGATGCCTCATCGAAAGCTGGATAAATTTCACTGAATGAGTGATCTTCCTCTTCTAATGTCGGTTGTTATTCTTGTTCCCCAAACTTTTGCTTTACCAAACAGAAACTATAAAATTCCCTGCTTCCTGATCAAACCATTGTTATGATTTTGTGTGAGGTCAATATCAACATTATTTATTTTCTGTCTGCAGGCCTTTGTGGATTTTAAAATGGGTGCTTTGGCATACCTGGTTGCTCTACCGATAAAAGTAAGAGACCTTAAGGAAAATTACATAAGAACATATAAGTCATGGGTAATTATCGTATCATTAAACACGACACGATAAATATATTTTGGGATATTTATCAATAAGTATCACATTTAACAATACTTGTTGTATTGTTAAGTACAACGGAAAATTATTTTCACAATCATTCATTGTGGAAAGTTTCTGATCACCATTTGAGTTTTGATTTATCGTTGTCATGATAAATTTCAGTTAATGAAAATAAATGCAAAAAATAAAACTGACAGTTTGGTAAGAAATGTTCATTTTTGCCATTTTCTACACTAAGTTACAATAAAATAGTAAATTTGAAAATATGATTAAATGCAGTTGCTGAGTTTTGAATGTTTTTCTAGATCAATAGTTGTGTTGGTGGCACTTTGAATGTCGTGCCATGCAGAACTATTTATACCTAAAAGGTAATAAATAGTTTTTTTTCTTTCTAATATAATATTTATCGTTATCACAATAGTATCACGATAAAATTAGACGTCCATATCACCCACTCTAATCATCAACAGTGTGACATGGTTTTGCTGTTTGCTGCGTCAGGTAGAATGAAACCCTTTCTGGTCATTTCCTAGTTTGAAGAGCCGATCTACGGAAGCCTGAACATGGATTTTACCACCTATGTGACTCCAGGAGCTGTCCTGAGGTCAGTGACGAGTGGGCCGCTCTGGTTTTGTGTTGTTTACGGCAGAATTTATTTATTTATGACCTTTACTATGGCACATCACTGGGAAACACTTAAAGGAACAAATCCTTCTTTTGTCTCTGTTCCTGCAGCATCTCCTTCTACCTGGCTGTGGGTTTGACGGCGCTCTCCTTCGTCCTGGAGAGGAAGGAGGGGCTTATGGACAGGTGCTGGGTCGCAGGTGAGAAACCAAACCTTCCTTTGCTCTGATAGCAGCACAAAAGTTCATAAGTCTCAGTTCCAGCTCTTTGCTCATGTTAGGAATCACCGTTAGTACTTTCAGAATATTAGGAATCTTTAACAGGGAGGGGCATTTTCTTGTATCGTTTATCATTTATTGTGAAAAATGTTTTTTCACCATTAGAATTTTGATTGATTGTTGTCATGATAAATATCATTTAAAGCTAATCAAAGACATGATTTTCAACTATTTTAGACACTCAAAGTAGTTCTGGAAAGCATCCATGAATAAAAATTTCTGTCAGCAGCAAGGCGGTCTTTTTATTTTGCACAGATTAGATAAGAAGTTTTGGTGGTCGCCTTTGAGCACTGATATAAACATTAACAAGTGACTCGATCACTTGATTATTTTGTTTAGAAATCTTTATTTGAATAGCACTTTTGAGGCCGCAAGTGAATATGATCCATTACTAAGAAACAAGTGAAGACTTTATTTATATAGAAAAAAGAAAAAAAGAATATGAAATCAAAAATATTTCTAACACTTAACAAACTATTAATTTGAAATTACAAAAAACAAATAAATACAAGTGAAAATGCCAAAATAGATACAGAATTTTAGGTTTTCTACGAAACCTAAAATTAAACATCCAACATAATTATTTTTCCGAAAAATTAAAGTTGGTGTTATCAGTAACTATAAAAGAAGCTGGATTAAAACTCGTCTTTATCTTACTTTTAAAAAAAGTGATGCTTTTAACAGTTTGGCTTAGAAAATAAAGTGTTTGTTAACAATCTCCAAATCTATTGAAATCTTTAAAAGTTGTAAAAGAGAGGCTGCCAGGCGTGAATTGATGAAAATTCAGGTGATGCATCATTTAGGTGTAATTTGACACGTGGCCAGTAGAGGGAGGAACATGATCACAAGTGAGGTTGAAGACGTTTCTGTCCAAGATGCCAACAGAAAACTGAACAAATGTATTCAATCACTTTTTTTTTTCATTTAGAAAAATCACACGCATTTTGGTCGATAATCTGATGAATCTGAATTTATTGAATTCATTGTTTGTTAGTGTTTGAACATGATTTAGTTGTAGCAAGCTGTTGCTTTTCTATTCTACTGGCTCAAAGTGAGGCAGAATAGAATCGTAGTAAAAATGAATAAGAGGAGATTATTTCAGGGCTTAAATTTGACTTATTCTTCTTATTTATGTTTTCTTGATTTGACTAAGACAAAAATGTCCTCTAATTTTATTAAATAGTCTGGAAATAAAATAAGTTGGTCTCAAGTGGAAGTTGCCTCAAACTGCTGTTCTCATTCGGCAAAACATTGTGGCAGAAGACATTTTCAGACAAAATAAAAACGAACCTGCATCGGAACGGCCGCCACTGCGTCACATTGGCTGTTTCATTTTTAGTCTTTAAAAATGTTTTCAACTTCAGATTCATCAAAAAGCCCTTCCTGTTCTTCGCTCCACTAGGTGTGAGCTCCATGGAGACGATGCTGGCTCACCTCTTCTCCCAGCTCTTCGTCATCAGCGTTCAGATCATCCTGATGCTGCTCTTCATCCTGCTCGTCTTCAAGGTTGGCTCGGGGAACAAACACTACACTTATGCTATACAATTTTATTGATCTAAAAAAAATGTTTAGATCAAAATAAAGATTTTGGCAATTCTTAGAACCGACGTTCTCCATCCAGAGCTTGAGCTAATTTGCAAAAAGGAGAATGAGCTCTGGACAAACGTCCAAATGTATATATGTAATATGTAATAATGTAATATATGGTGGGCCAGGTTTGGCCCACCATATATTTTTATGTGGCCCTTTAGACTCGTCATCAATCAGCTGCTTCAGTTTTTTGAGGAAATGCTAATAAAATCAACAGCAACACACATTTTTTTCAGAGTACAGCAAATTTTCCCACCAACACAGTCAAAAACATTGGATTTAAATGATGCCAAGTCCCACCTGAAGGTGGCAGTAGTTCTCACTTTTACTACACTTCTGTTCATACCTGTCAAGTCTCCCGTTTTGGCCGGGAAAGTACAGTGTTTCGTGTTTCCTGCTGTGCTCCCGTAATAATATTTTCCCGTCAATTTCCCATATTATAGCAGCTACGTCACCAGTCCTCCACTCTAGCGCTAAGCCGTTCTCAAAAACAATTGCGATCACTGTTAAAAAAGATGTTCAGGGTTACTTAATTTGAAGAAGTACTTATCGAATGCAAAAACAGCTGTTTATTCATACTTTAACAGTGTTGCCAATACATCCTGGCATAACTGGCCCTTTGAGAACATTCTTAATCTTGATTTGGTCCAAAATGAAAATGAATCGCAGCTGCAACTCCAGCAGAGGGAGGAGTTGAAGACAAATCCACAAATACACTCATAAATGTTTATTCTGCCTGTCACATAAAATCACAGAAACCGTAAAAGTGAGAAGGAAGAAAAACAACAATAAAAACAGTAGTCTGCTGACCAAAGTCACCCCTAACATGGTTTGGTTTTGACGTGTGGGAAACATGTCCGACACGTTGGAGGTTAATAATTCGCCAGCCTTCCCAGGCCTTCATTTGCATTTTTACTGCGTCGACAAAAACTCTGACTTCACCTGTGGCAAGTTGCAGAGACGTAATTATGTTAATAAGAATCCACTGCAGCCAGCAAACAGCTTTTCAATACCAGCTGTTTGTCTGAGATTTATTTTCCATTACGACGGCGCGCTCTATGAGGAATCAGCGTTTCTTCTGCGTGTGCAACAGAGTCTGACGGTAGTGAAGGTCGAGTCTGGTGTGAGAACAACACACCATTGCAACACGAGTCTGGATTGATCCACTCTATGTGTGTGTGCATAAAATCAATAGAGAAAGAAGTTTTCAAACTGAGGAGGACAGAGTATGAAATCCATCTCTACAAAAAATGGCAAAACCCCAAAGTTCTTGAACACGTGTCCTCAATAAACTCATGGTTTTTCTTACCCTTAACAAAAGAGTGCGTGTTCTCCTCTCTGTGTGTGTTTGTGTGCGTGTGTGTTTGTGTGCGTGTGTGTGAGTGTATATATGCATGGCTCAGAACCGTGTTAATTAAGGTGCCTAAGTCCAAAGAGAGCGGCGCTTCATAAATCACTTCCTGCATCGCCCGTATCCAGGGATCGCTGCAGGATCGCCACCACAACAGCCCGCGATTGCTGTGGCAACCGTGTGGTCATGTGGCCTCTGGGTGCGGGTCTATTTTTGCACGTTGTCAGGGGAGACGGATAGTGTCTTAGAGCTCCGAGGAGCAACACAAACATTCCAGTCAACTTTGGAGAGTTTATCACCTCGACTCCTCGTAGCTGAGTCCTGCCCAAAACTCTGCCTGGTTTTCAGTCTCGTCTCGCCTCTAAATGTATTTACTCTTGTCGTTTCTTGTATTTGTTTTCTTTTGTTTTTTTGTTTTTACGCCGTATCATTGGAATATTAGAGAGTGCGTGCATCCCTGCAGATCTTTATTTTTGCCTGTTCCCACATCGTCATTTTTTGATAAAATGAACTCCCTAAAACACTTCATGGAAGCATTTCCAAAGTATGTCCTGGTTTGCAATCATGGTCTTTCCTCTGCATGAAATTGGGATAATTATGCTTCTAATGATAGGAATGTACATTTTTGGTTCCTTGAGATACTGCATAATGTTCGAGTAAGTGGCTGTTTGAACTCCCCGTGTGTTTGTGACCAGTTAAACACGATGAACCCTTTAAAAAGAAATCACAATCATGCATCGTGTTTGAGCTTGTTCCACTTCTTCGCCGTGCTATTTATTTATTTTTTTTGCCCCCCTGTCTTCACAGATGCCGAACGAAGGCTCCCTGTTTCTGGTCATATGTCTGATCGTGCTGCAGGGCGTCACGGGAATCTCCTTCGGCCTCGTCATCTCGGCGGGGATCGACGACGAGCAGAGCGCCAATCAGGCCGCCCTGGGCATCTTCTACCCCAACCTCATCCTGAGCGGTAAGCAGAGACTCGGGGAAAATCTGTCACAAAACCAACTCACGTGTCATCGCCCGTCAGACTCCTAAAGCACAGCGGGAGACCGATTGCTCGATTAAGCATGAGCCGCTGATTAAAGATCGTTGTGAGCGGGGTGTCGGCCAGCATGTGGGGATGATATTTGTTCAGAAGACGGGATCTGAAGATAGTTCAAGTGATCAACAGTCATAGAAAAGAGCACATATTTCTGGATTTTGATGGTGAGGATACTTATAATGAGGCACACACATCGAGAATGTAAATACCTGGTGATTAAATCCAAACAGGAAAGGCAGTATCCGCCATTTCGTATTAAAATAAGAGCCATATTTAGCTAGGTGAGTATTTCTAAAACACCTGTCTCTCTCTGTGTGTATTCCCTGGACAATATATACTCTGAAATACATTTAGCCTTCCTGTTTGCTGCTAAAAGTCTCTGTGTCCTAGAAAATATGATTTCCTTTTAAATGGTGCTCAACATTTTTATCCACTTCTCTACTACAGAACATGGTTGACTTTGAGTTTTTGTCCTACAGTAAAAATAATTCCAACACAACAGATTGCTATTAGCCACCACACCTTTATGGATTGGTGCAGCACGATCAGTGATTGGAAAAAAGATGTCTATTTCAAGTTTCTGTCATCTTGTACCAAACTGAAAATGAGGAAAACAGCAAAACCTACTAGAAAGTAAAAAAAAACAAAAAAACATCCCGTCTTCAAACACAAATCTAAAGAAATGAGTGATGACTTGAAACTTTTCAGTCGACGATGTAAATGTTTAATAATGTTTGCTATCAGAATCCAGTCACGAGCTGCATTTTTTATTTATCCGACATCTTACCCTGCGTCCTCCTCTGTCCTGTGCTGCAGGTATCATCTGGCCTGTGGAGTGCATCCCGTATCCTCTCCGCTACCTCAGCCTGGCTCTCCCTCAGACCTATGCTTCCGAATCCCTCCGCTGCATCATGTACAGAGGTAACATTTGTGCAAACATTGACACGACTGCCGCATGAGGCTCGGGTCAACAACTTAATTTCTAACTTCATCCACAACATTAGCATTGGGTCTAAATCATTTATCAGCCTTCGGTTCTGGGTAACTCGGGTTCTTTGAACGTAACGTAAGGCTCTCGCTCTGTGTGCCAATTTTTGTCATGACCTCACTTCACTTTGAGGAATATATTACCAAACAGCTGGAAGGATATGCTTGAAAACATAAAATTGTCAAGTTTTCTGAATGAATTTATTTCTGAGAGCCTGAAATGCACACCAGATATTGGTAACCCAAGTAAATAAAACATATTTTTAAATAAACACCCCTTAAATTATGAATGATAAAATGTGACTGCATAGGGAAAATTTATTGAACACATTTACTAAAATCCATTCAATACGTCGTAGAAAAGCCTTTTCTGGTCATGAGAATTTTAAGGCATCCCTTGTATAGAGAAACTAGTCTTCCTTTGCTTAGACATGATTTTGACTCAACTGTCTACAAATCTTGAAGATATTTCGGGTCCTTCACCTCCACTCTTGTCTTGATCATTTTTTTTCTATTGATCTTTAATTGAATTCATCTCTGGTATTTGATTGTCCCGTTCCAGAAGCTTTGTAGAGTTTTCTTGGCTTCATGTTTAAAATCTGTCTACCTTAAAAATCCATCCCTGGATTATTTTTTTGAAGAAAATCGCAGCACATTCGCCCATTCCTTCTTTCTTCAGTGCAGAAGTCTGTCTGACCGATATGCTGAAAAACAACCCCACTCCGACTCCATTATCTTCTCACCGTTATATACTGTTTCTGGGACGATGTGTAGCGCCATTTCCACTGCAAATATGTTTTTTGTAAAGACGCCCAAATAGTTTGAAGAACATACACAACAAGTAATTGATTCGCTTGTCCAGATGTTCTGAAGCAAATTTTAAACAAACTTCATTGTGGTTTTTCTTCAACAGTGGAGTCTTGCGTAGTGAGTATGCAAAAAAAAAGCCAGGGCTGTTGAGCACATTTCTTACTGTTTACTTTAAAACATCCGCTGATAACAGAACTCTCTGAGCAAATTGTTATTGGCTTTTCTAATTATTCGTTTGACTTGTCTGCCTGAAATGTAATTTTAACGCGTAGCTAACTTGGTAATCTTCTGCCCAGGGTGGGGTATGTCCGAGATGATGGTGTGGCGAGGTTTTGCCGTAACCCTGGGCTGGAACACGTTCTTCCTGATCCTGGCCACAGTCATCCTAAAGCTGAGAACGTGACAGCCTTCGTCCCCTCGGAAGACACCATCCTGACCGGAGACAGATCAGGAGCCGACAACAATCCTTGGACCTTCCGTCTGTGGAGGAGGCAAAGCAGAAGAAATAAAGAGGAAAATGGGGAGAAAAGAGGGAGGGATCTCCCCCCTACTGGTCGTCTCTCTGACACACACTAACACACACACACTCTCTGATCCTGCACCAGTTGGTTTGGTCTGTTCAAAGTCTAAATTCAAGATGCTTCAAGTAGGAAACACAAAGTAGCAGCAATCAATGTTCGTTCGCATTTCTACGAGCGGTTTCTCAAAAACCTTCATCCTGTGAACAGCCACGAACCAACTCAGGGTTACTTTTTGTTTCTTCTTTTATTTTGTTTTTGCCTTTTGACTTAATGCCGAGAGATTTTTCTGTTTTACACTTTAGAATAAATGAAGGCCGTATTGTTCGTTTTTTGATATAAAAAGAGAAAAACATATAAATATGTTGACTGTAACAGATGGATATTTGAGGTTCATGCCGTCTGTACTACAATGAAGATAAGACGGGCACCGGAGAAAATGAAGGAAACTTTAAAGAGGAGGAGCACAAAAATAAGAGAAAACATCTCTTTTCCAAGCAGGAAATTGAGATTATTGCACAATGAAATGTGAATGTAGACGGAATTAAAAAAGTGATGATTGCTTCTTATTTCCTCACCCGCGAAGGCTTCTTCCCACAGCGTCTCCGTCTCTCTCGCTGCTTGCTGGGTGTGTTTACGTTGAGCCCGTCGTTCCCGTCTGATTACAAAAAGAAGCGGTAACCGTTTGGTCTCGCTGCGTTACCAGGTGCTCAACGTGTCGTTCTTCTTCAGCTTTAGTCAATGGTGTTCCTTATAACTTTGTGCCTGTATCTCCTAAAGGAGGGAAAATGTTGGTAATGGTGAATTTATTTTTTATCTTTTTTCTGTCCTGCAACTTGATGTTTTTCACGTACGCTCTACTTTGCCGGACAGAGTGGAGGCCGTTCTCAAGCCGTCAGCATCCATGCTTCTTTTTCCTTAAGGAGTCCAAGAAAATCTAAGCACACAGGAGTGAGTCTTTTAGGGGTTAAATACAGAGATGGTGTGTTTGTACCGTGAGAAAAAAAAAAAAAAGAAAAAGTGGGAAAGTTTATAAGTCAGAAAATGTGTTTTTCTGTCCTGCTGATATGGTGACAAATATCTGTAATTGAAAAGCCACATTTTGAATGACGCATAAAGGTGCATTGAGGTTGATTGGTTTTTATAGGTGGGATTTGTACGGTTATATTTTCTCAAGGTCTAAAAACAACCCTAAATTGTCACTAGAAAAACACAGCTGTATTTATTTTTTTAGTAATGTGCTACCAATGAGCCAAACTTTCTTTTAATTTTTAAGGTGGTTTTGCTGGACTGGTGAGTTTTGTTATGTGCAATCCGGGTCGCCACCCAGATCAGCACAATGTAGGGGGCGGCTCGAGCGACAGAGGGGAAAAAAAACTAACATCACTTACATCCAGAATTGGTTTTCTGTCACTTATTTGCATGTCCAGATGTGCAATCCAAGCACTGTAGAAATCCTGAAAACACGGCTGTACTATAATGGCAACGCAGTCGTGATTCGAAGTGACTCGGCTCTAAACTGAAGGGCTACTTCTCTGCTTTTTAAAAAATCAGGAATCTGATTGGGATTGAAACACAGATTAAGACTCATGAACTCTTCGTTTTCGAAACTGTAAAGAACGGGGCTCTGATCAGCGCTTCTCCAGCCCTTCTGACGGTTTTTCAGTATTTTTCTTTGTATCTTTCTTGGCTTTGTTTCCGTCAACAATGAGCAACATTTGAAAGAGATGAGAGAGATGTCTCGTCCTTCTGTTTTCAGCTGGGAATCACCCCGTTGGCGTGTTTAACCACTGAAATGAGTCGAATTTTACATTTTGCAGATGTGGCAAGCAAAAAGCAATAAAGCAAACTGCCCAAAAGATCTGGTCTAAAATGTGTTCCTCGCTAAGTTTTCTACAACGTGCAGACAGGAAACTACTTCAACCCCTGAATCGTGGAGACGTTGTGTGCCTGAATGTTTCATAAATCACAGTTAAGCTGTCAGTTCAATTCAGAAATACTTTACTAATAACAAAGGGAAAATACATCAGCTGTACCTGACTATTTCTCTGACAGTGGTCTGGTGAAATCAAGCTAAACCAATGAAAAACCGTCTGAGAGCCCAGAGAAATGTTGCTAAACCTCACCTTAATACGTTCGAAGAAAGATTGACTCATTGGGATGAAAATGTAAAGAATTGACACACGACTCTAAACATTTGCAAAGTTCTGTCCATCCTACTTCTTTTTTTATTTTTGTTTTTATAAGGTTTACTCAGAGAGTAGTGTTAACAATCTCAATCCTTCGTCTTTGGAACCAGCATCACATGTTTGTGCCAGTTGAAGATGCAAAATGTTTACAATTATCTGCATATAATAAATCTGACCGTGTTTTTGCTAGCAGGGGTTTCTCTAAACACGTGTTCCTGTTTGGGTTATATCGGAGCAGCCTCTACTGTGAATGAGTTTTATCCTATTGAAAATGTTGAGTTATTGTTTGATAGAACAAGGTGATCATGTGCTCGGATAGACTCATTAATAAACTCCTTAAGGATAATATACTTTAATATAATAAAGTTTTTGTGCCTCGGTCTGATCCTATCACAATATTGAACGGTGATCTGTCTCTGGGTTCACTGGTACAGCTTGTTTAAACATTATTTTATGTTAAGAACCTATATTTGGACTGTCAGGATATCATTGCCAAAAAAAAAAAAAAACATGTTTAAACTTTGTAATATGGTGGTGATGTTTGTTAAAATTTTCTTTTTTTTTCTTTTTGTAATGAAATAACCTCGTGTTGCAACTGATTTTGAACAGACACACCTTTCAAATTGGAAATCCTGCCCAATATTTGCAAAAACACTGTTAAGGAGAAGCAACGGGCAGGAGTCTATTGATCAAAAGTTGCCAGTTTTGATTTAAAATGTGACTTTTCTTTTACTTTTCTTTTTTTTTTTTCGGTTAAAATGTTGCAGATAATGTAAGCGGTGGCGTGTGCGTCCACCCGTGCTCTATAGACTCCAGTCCACTACCTCCGCCGTCTCTCCCTTAAGGGCGCGTGAAGAATTTACACTCCTGTGTTGTGACTTGTGTGTGACAGACACGCTTGGATGAAGTCCTATTCATTTATTCTGAAACAATAAATGTTGTTGAAAAAAAATCCTTCCTCTTTGTTGTCGCTGCTGATTTTGCGGTTGCAGAAACACCTGGTGGTGACGGACGGCAAAGGCATGCAGTTACATCACACCTTGCTCACTTGATTGTGTGGCCCGTTACCATGGATTAGTTTTTGATCTGTCCCTACCCGACTGGTAATGGCTGACTGTTTGAACTCTACGTGTGTAACACACATATTGTAATCACATCAATCTCTTTAAAAAAAACCCCCCAAAAAAACAAACTGTCTTTTACGTTGACCTAAGTGGGGCCATAAAAGTCGACGGCTTATTATTAAAAGAAAACTTGGTACTTAACAACANAAAGNTCAATTCTGACTGTTAACATGTCAGAGACCGTAATGAATATGATTTAGAAATCCGTCTTTGATGTGACATTTATCCTGTACCATTATGTGTCAAACTCAAAATTCAAATTTGGCCCACCGTAGCTTTTTAAGTGACCCTCTAGGCTCCAAATTATATCAGCAAGTCACTCCTGGTTTTCACAAATTTGCAAAATACACACAAAATCAACAGATCCCCACTTTTTTTTTCCTGATTTTTACTTCAAAATTTTCTCAAAATTGGTCAAAAATTATCAGGTCTAAGTGACAGCTGCCTCAGCTGTACTTGATGTCAAGTTATAGTCCGTGATCAATATGGCAATTAATAAAAAGTCACATTTAATGTCATACATTAGGGCAAACATTGTACAAATTCCATACAAATATTTCTAAATTAGCACCACAAAATTTGTGCATTGCAAAAAACCACAAAAATAATCAGAAAATCCTGGATGGAACACTGTGAAAAGAAGATCAGTATTATTTAATTTTAAGAAACACTTATTGAATGCTGAAACAAAGAGCTATTTGTTGACATTTTAACACTTTAATTGGTTTTATCAATATATTCTGGCACAACCAGCCCTTTAAAACTATTCAAATGTTTAATATGGCTCAAAATGAAAGTGAGTTTGACACGCCTGCATTAAACAGAAAACAGACAAATCTGTTTAGCCAATCAGAGCTCTTTTGCATTTGTTCAGTTGTATTTTTATTGTTTTTTGTATTTTTTTAAACCAAATTCTTTATTTTAACATTTTTAAATGCACTGTATACCACTGTAACAAAATGTTTAAGCTACTTTCAAGCTAGCACAAGGAAGTTCTTCTACCTTACCTTAAGGCCTTGTCACTTCCAACAGTTTCTGGCTTCATTCATCTTGTTTTCTGAGCATCCTCTGTCATCTGTTGTATTTTACTTTTTTCACAGTTTGATCAAATCAAAGCAACTGTAGTTGTTTTATGTGAAGAAAACTCGGTTCTGAAAGGGTTAGTCGTTCTCTGAGCGCCATCCAAAAAGATGGCAAGGACACACTCAGCTTACAAAACGACAAAATAAATTAAGTTAGGTTCATGAGGACAAGACTATAAAACTAAAGACAAGATTCTAGCAATGTGAAAACTGAAAATGTAAAATTTTGTATTAGCAGAAATAGTTTTTTCCAAACGGGAAATTATGACAATCATTGTTGTTTAGTTTTACTAGATCTTTAATTGAGGTTTCCTTGTTTTCCCATCTTAGTGGTTTTCCTGAAGACGTTTTGTGTTTTCACTATTAAAATAAATGTTCCACTAATCTCCAATTATGTTTTAAAGAATCTCTGTTAAACCCAAAATGATTCAGTTTAGATTTAATCAGGGTCAATAGGTTTAGAGTTGAACTCGTGGTGACGCAATTTAGAATAGATGGCTCAGCTATGCTGTCTGTACACTAAACCAACCCAATTTGGAGCACGCATCTATCTGTTAAATTTTAAACAATCACAGTTAAGTGTGTGTTTCAAACAATGGGAGTCTTTTAAGCATTGTCCTCCTGCTAGAAGAAGAATGAAATGAGAGTCTGGTTGTCTGTCCACAGTCATTTACAGTGGTTGATGAGCTCAGTGACAACACCATTTCCAATTATAGAAAATTACAGCGTAATTACATTCAATGACACCCTGCGGATTATAGAAACCTTAGCGTTCATGCAGCTCGGTCCCAGTTTACACATGATGCAACGTGGACAGAATGTACAAACAATTTGCTACAGTGAGAGTCATACATCCAGCAGTGATGAAAGTGAGCCACATGTTTGCCAAGCTTTCATTTATGGGGAATTCTGCAGTTAAATGCAATTTACAACTGTCCACATGTGGTTCGCATCAGCTCCAATCATTCTAAAACACATCATATGATTATATTTATAAAGCGCTCAATTCTGGGATGCACAAGGAGTCGGCTTGTATTCAATTTCCTCAGTTTAATTGCTGTACCAATCAACAATAGATCAGTGAAATCAAAGAAACAGTTAATATAGTAGGTGGAATATATGATAACTTTTCTCATGTTGTTGAAAGTTTGTGAGGTGATTTCGTCAGTGAGCCCCAAACCAATTCAACTTTTTTGGGAGCTTCATCTCTTCACATTGTGTACCAGGAAAAGTAGTGTTACTTGCAAAGTCTGAATAAATATCATATGAGGTTTTGAAGTTCAAATTAATTCATCCAAGGCCATCCAAGACCAAAGCTGAATGGTGCTATCTGAAAACAAGTCCAACTCAAAGATATCCCAGCAGTTTATGATTACTTTGCCTTGAAACACTTTGGGATAACCCAAGATGATGAGTCCTTGTGTCTATGATTTTCTGTTTTATTGGAAAATTGGCGGAGTCCTTTAAGGCAAGACCTTGAGGACACATTGCTTCCTTGTCAAAATCAAAAGAAATCAGAAAACTGTCTACCTCCACAAGTTTGGCTCATCCTTAGGTACAATTTCCAGAAGCCTAAAGGATCCATGTTCACCTGTCCTATCAATTGCAAATTAGCACTGAAGACTCGTAAAACTCATTTTGTTGGGCGATCCAGCTCACTCTGACAAAGACTCAGGTGAAAGGCATTGATGACAACTCTATTTAGATGCATGTCAGTACATTTTAAAAGAAGCTCTTTAAAAATATCTGTCTGTCTCTGCTGGTTAAGAAGCTGAGAAGACTTTGAATGTACTACAAAAACACAGAATCATATCAAATATTTCAGTCTAGTTTCTAGTTTGTAATGTGGCGAAACTAATAACTAACTTTTCATCAAGATATGGGAGCATGTTTTAAGTTAAAATTAATTGTTTTAAAAAGAAGTAGTTCCACTGGCAGATTATTTCACTTGTAACAAGACATTTTTTCTCATGTTAGAAGTGAAATAATCTGGTATCCAAAATGAAATCATACACAAAAACCTTGAGCTTCTTCCGATACTTTAGATGTTCAATCTTTTATCTTTAGAATTCTCAACAGGAACTTACATTTCTTTTTCGCTCGTTGATGTTTAGTTTATTTAATAAAATGCTATTTAAAACAGTATAACTACTAAAAGGTTAATTAGGAAATCTAACAGTGAAACACAGAATTCATTCTAGGGCTGAAGCGATACACTAATCTCACAATATATATCATGACATTCAGCAAATTATACAAGGACAGAGTGATTTTGGTGACATTTTGTGACTGTTCCATAGACTTGGATTGAATTAATTGAACTGAATGTGCAACACTGGTGTAATAAGTTGTATTTGTTAAACATTTAGTTAAATGTTAATTGTGTGGCTTTGTGTATTTAGTTTTGCAGAAAAGTAACATTTTTTGTCTTATTCACTTATATTAGACAATGTAATTTATCTACTTAATTTCATTATTTAATTGTAACCGGTTGTTTCATTACACATCATTTTTAATGTACATGTGCAGCTGGGTAAAATATGTCATGTGTGATAGCTGTCATTTCATTCACGTGGATTTGACATGAAACTAAGAAGAAGGATTTAATGTATCGATACTCGTGGATGAAAAATCAATACTTTCTGAGGGAAAAAAAAATCTATGAATATCGTAGAATCGATAAAATTACACAGCACTAATTTATTCATTATTTAATTACCAATGTAATGATTCTGAGAATAAATTAAATTTTACATCTTCTTCTCATTCCTGATGATAAAGAATGACGAGAGGAACTTACTCCTGCAGAAAGATGTTGGAACTGATAAGAAAATCAACATAAGATGAAAATCATATTTAGTGTATAAACATCATTAAATAGCTTATCAAATGCAACCTTTAAGCGTTGACTTAAAAAGGCAAACAAAATTAAATAAAAATCAATAAGGTATCTTTGAATTGAATTAAATTGGATTCAAACAAATTTTGAGCTAGCTCCAGAGAGGGAGAAATCCCACTCTGAGAAAAAGACACCATTACCTCAAAAGCAAAATGGGAAAGTCAACACTCACACAGGGAAAAAAACCTTTAAATCAAGTTTTTGGTCATAATGACAATCATTACACCTGGAGGAAAAGAGGGTAAGTTTGTGAGCCTCGCCAACTGTGAGGTGTGTGCATTAAAAACAGTGTGTTTTGGTGCAGCAGAGGCTACTTTTGTTCACAAAATCAACAGCAGCAGAAGGAAACGGCATTATGTAACATCATGTTACACATCAGACAGGGAAATTACAGCTTGGCCACAAATGTGTCTCACAAATCGACGATCATCCTAACCATACCTGCAGATTTATTACAAAATGACATGACAACTAAGTCAATAATTTGGGGTAGTCATCACAAAGTCCTTATCTCAGTGGAAAGAGATGCAAGGGAGTGGAAGACAGCGTCTACTTTTTCTGGTATCGGTAAAGGAGAAATGCTTTTAGTAGTCCTAGCTGAACATGAGCAGAAAAAAGCTCCTGATTTATGTCAGACAGCAAGAGAAAAATGACTGCTTGTCTTTCTAAGCAGTATAAATCTGTGGTTTCAGCCTTATCTTTTGAAAGTGCTAGTAATCGTTTTACAGTCTTCATATCTTAAGATTTGCAAGAAAAAGAGGGGAAAAAATTCAGTTTTGGGCCTCTCTGTCTAACATGGGGCTGTAGGCATTTTGAAATCGTATCTTCCCTCAATTATCTGCAGGCCAATTTAGCAACACAGTGCAACCGTCCTGCTTTCTGTATTGCAGAAATAAACTCTGAAATAAATTAAAATGCACACTTGATCATGTGTAAGTGTTTGTGCATAGCAGCAGTGTTAGATGGTACAAGGTCACAATGTGGACAGTGAATGCATGAAAGCAATGCTGAATAGTAAAAATGTAGTCAGTTTTGCAAATGCCAGCACAAACACACACGCATACACACACCCACACACACACAATCTTGATTCATCTGGTCCAGCCGCTCTGCTTTGTGATCCACCAAACATTCAGTAAACATTACCCTGCGCATGGTTACTGTCACCATAGCAGCTCGGCTCGGCCCCTCAAACACAGGACAGCGGTGTTATTTAATATTTGGCTGCGCGCGAGCATAGCATGTTTGTATCACACAATCCTGTGACACTTGCTTTTCTCTCTCTCTGTAGCTGGGCCCTCGTGCTCCTCATACCCCTCACGTGCAGTTGAATAGCTGTTGCTATGTTTTCCTCTATCAGGCAAACATCGACAGAGGCTGAACTGCTAGTCCAGAGCTCACCTCCCGCCCCGCGGACTCGGACACTTTGGCCGCCGTCGGCGCCAACTGAGAAGCGGCAGCAGAGATTTCAAGGAGGCTGATGTGATGCAAGGCCGGCCCAAACCTTTTTGGGACCCGAAGCAGATTGTCAGTTTGTGCACCCTAAACAGACATGTCAACACAAGATGCTAAGCTACTCTCTACGTGTGCATACCTGCTGTCATTTCAAATTTGTCATGTGAAATTAGCTTACATCATACAAGTGCTATTATGGCTGTTAATTTTAACCTGACAGGAGAAACAAATCCCCCCCACAATTATTTTGAACTTGAAATGGTATTTAAGTGTGCCATATTATTTTAACTATTTGGAAGTAACATCAACTGTAATTTACAGTAAACAAGTTTGATATATTATGTTTCCCCAACAGTGACAGCAGCCATCATCAGAAAGAAATTAACCTTAAGTTGTGTAACAACTTTAAAAACAATTTAGAATTTGTTTTTCCATGTGTGATAGTGTTTATCTTGTATTATTCAAATGTTATTTTAAATATATTTGTATCACGCATGTCTTTGGGGGGCCCCTAATGGTGTGCGTTTACCTTGTAGGGTTACCCCGCCCCCCAATGCTGCCGGGACCCCAGGCAGCCGCTTAGCTTACGTTTGCCATGTGCCAGCCCTGATTTTAAAGACCTGTTAACGAGCATATTACTGGGAGTACAAATGTTTTGTCATAAGGCTCCAGTTGGTGAAAATAAAAGTTATTTTTAATCTGCATTTCTTAAAAAAAAAAAAAAAAATCACGCAAGTGGTTTAGAGGTCTGCTTTAAGTCAACTTCGCCTGAATAAATTGTCTCTAAATGCTGAGGTCAGACAACAGCTTCTGCAGCGCAGGACAAGCTTCCACAAGACCGGTTGCACAAACCTTTAAGTCTGCATTTTAATCCTGCATAATATATTAGGTTAGACAGATGTCAGAAAGTCAGGAAGATATGTTCATTCGACTGCTATCACTTTTTGTAAAATTATTGACTGCTATCAGTCGCTACAGGAATCTGGATCCACTGAATTGAACATGAAACATCTTTTTGGTCACAGAAGGCATCGACACTATGGAAGAATTTCTTGGGTTATGGGAGAAAAATTCCTCCATACCACGCAACTTTTCTGTTCTGTTTTCTAACGTCTTGCGACACGTGCTGCGTTCTGTGCAAACACAGACTAGCTGGAATCTGAAGATGCATATCAGCGTGTACAAGTTTACAGTTTCCTGGTCCTGCTTGCAGAAAGTGAAGCCTGCTGAGAAGAAAAGCACTTGTCAAAACATCAATCAGGAGGGAAATGAACCAACCGCCGTGCCTTCACCCGTGCAATCAAAGGAAGGTGTGTCTGTTGCTCACCGCCCCTGGAGACGGCCAGGAAAGGTGTATCCGCTGTAACCGTGGCAACACAAACAGCATGATTCAAACACTGATTAAAATGTGAGCGAAGATTATGCAACAAGCGTGCAGGAAGAAGTGTGTGTGTGTGTGTGTGTGTGTGTGTGTGTGTGTTTGTGTGCTTACAGGCACAGATGGTTTCTTGAGTCACAGTCGTAAAGTCTCCCTTAAGTCTCTGCAGCTGGTTGAAAACCATTTTAACCTGCAATGACCGCCTCTCGCTTATGGCAACCAGTGTAGCAGCAGGCGTGTATTTTATTGGCAGATATAAGTGTGTGCTTTAAAGCAGCTTGGTGGGTACAAAAGTGAAGTCTGTCTGTGTGGATGCCAGGTACCTGGCCTCTACCTAAAGTGATTTCTCCATCCAGTGCAAAAGTTTCAAGCTTCTCCAGCTCTCATCAGACGTGATACAGACTTGAATCTCTGAAGTCATATTCTGCCTCCCATCCGGGCCCCTGCCCCCCCATAGCTCCGCCCCTGCACTCATGCAACTTGGGTATCCGATACGTATCCGATTCAAGTGTGGCCTACCGTCCAGGTAGCATTCATCCGACCTGAACGTCACTGACAGTGTTGTAGTAGCTACTCGAGATTGGTCTTGGTCTCCAGACCATTTTTTGATGGTCTCGGTCGAGTCCTTGGTCTGGGTCTTGTCTGAGGACTCGGCATTTTATTTCAAGACAAGTCGAGACCGCAACTGTGAAAATATCACTAAACGTACACCATACTGTCCAGTTTATTTTTTAAATCTTTGTTTTCAGTGGATGCAAAACGCACCGATTAAAATCCAAGCAATTACATGTTTCTGTTACTCCACTCCTTTTATCCCTCCCCACCTTTCACTCGCAAGCGGCGCTTCAGGACATACGCAGTGGTTTTCTCTCAG